GCTGAAGTCCTGAAAAGGAGCTGCTGGGTCATGCAGCATTATGACTATTAACTTAAAAATTAGGTTTATTTATCTCATTTCATGTGGATGGGTGTTTTGTCTGCGTGAATAGCTGTGCACCGCCATCCTGCCTGGGGCCCCCAGTGGTCAGAGGAGAGCATGGGATCCACTGGAACTTGAGGTAGGCGCGGTTGTAAACTGCCACGTTGGTGCTGGGAACCGAACTCGGGTCACGTGACTTGCGAGAGCGGCAATTGCGATTAACCACGGAGCGCTCTCTCTCCCACAGCGGCTGTACTACACTTTATTTCTGCCAGCAGCACACACCATTTTCCAGTTTCCCCACATTTTTTTTCTTTGTCAACGCTGATTTTACTGATTATCCGATTTTCTGCCCTCTGTCATCCCAGCGGATGCAAAGATGGTATCCTGGACTGAGTGTGGTACTGCATGCTCACCATCCCAGCACCCAGCACCCCCAAACACCTCTTTATTCGCATCTTGGCCCGTCCACTCATTCTTCCATTACAAGGTTTTTGTTTGTTTGTTTGGTTTGGTTTTCTGTTTCCTTTCCCTGTCTTGTAGCCGAGGGTAACTTTGAGCTTCTGAATTTCTTGCCCCTCTCTCTCCTGGTGCTAGGGATGCAGGCGTGCCCTGAGGAGAGAGGATGATGAGTTTGAGACCAGCTCTGCTACACAGTGAGACCTTCTTCATCAATCCAAAACAAGAAGACAGTGTCTCATCATAACTGTCATTGCATTTCCCTAATGAGTAGTGACAGTGAATATATGTTTTTTATTGTTTTTTTTTGTTGTTTTGTTTGTTTTGTTTGTTTTTGGAGACAGAGTTTCCCTGTGTAACTGTACTGGCTGTCCTTGAACTCCCTGCAGACCAGGCTGGCCTTGAACTCACTGATATCTGCCTGCCTCTGCCTCCCAGGTTCTGGGATTAAAGGCACACCACCACTACCGCCCGGCTTTGAATATGTTTTTAAGATCTAGGTGTGTCTGTGTATGTGCTTGTGAGTGCAGTGCTCACTGAGGCCAGAAGAGGGTGTCAGATTCCCCTGGAGCTGGAGTGGTTGTGAGCTCCTAGATGTGGGTGCTGGGTGACAGAACTTAGGTCCTCTGGAAAAATACGGCATGCTCTAGCTGCTGAGTCATCTTTCTGGTCTCTGACATCTTTTAAATAGTTTTTGCATTATATTTATTTCTTGATTATTTATGTGTGTGTGGGTGCACACACACACACTTGCATACACACACGCGTGCATATGCATGTGTGCTCACTTTTGAGAATGTGCACCATACTGAACATCTGGAATGTAGAGGATAACCTTGGAGAGTTGAATCCCTCCTTCCACCATGTTGGTCTTGGGGATGGAACTCAGATCACCAGACTTGGTGGCAAGCTCCTTTATCTACCAAGCCTATTTGCTGGCTCCCAAACACCTCCTTATTTGCATCTTGGCTCATTCAGTCATTCTTCCATTACAAGGTTTTTGTTTGTTTGTTTGTTTTGGTTTTGGTTTCTTTTCCCTGTCTTGTACCCGAGGACAACTTTGAGCTTCTGAGTTTCTTGCCCCTCTCTCTCCTGATGCTAGAAATACAGGTGTGCACTACAGCGTTCAGTTTATGCGGTGCTGGGGGGCAGAACCTCTGGCTTTGTGGATATGGGGTGAGCACTCTGCAGTTTGCGACCTCACACCCAGCCCTCCTCACAAGTATTTATTAAGCCTTTGCTAAGGGAGAGACAGCGTTTGGGATGTCGGAAACTCAAGGCAGAAACCTGGAGGCAGGAGCTTAAACAGAGACCATGGAAGAATTGCTCCTCATAACCTTCTCAGCCTGTTCCTTCCTTCCTTTTTTCCTTCCTTCCTTTCTCTCTCTCCCTTCCTCCCCTCCCTCCTTCCTTCCTTCCCTTCCCCCCCTCTCTCTGTTTCTCTTTGAGGCAGGGTCTCTCTGTTTAGCTCTGGATATCCTGAAACTCCCTTTGTAGACCAGGCTGGCTTTGAGCTCACAGAGATCCGCCTGCCTCTGCCTCCCTAATGCTTGGATTAAAGGCACCCACAGTGATCTGGGGGTACACCACCCACAGTGATCTGGGGGCACACCACCCACAGTGATCTGGGGGCACACCACCCACAGTGATCTGGGCTTTCCCACACCAATCGTTAGGCAAGAAAATGCACCACAGGCTTTCCCACCAGCAAGCCTGGTGGGGGCATTTTCTCAGTTAAGGTTCCCTCTCTCCCAGTGGCTTCGGCTTGTGCCAAATTGACACAAAACCGACCAGCACAGGTCACAATAGATCAACAGAACACCCAGGTATGTTCCAGACAAAGTGTGCTAAATCTCTCGATCTGGATCCTGTTTTCACATCAGCACAGTGAATTAGGTCCTAGTCTTTGGATCTTTACATGTGGAGGCACAGAAACAATTAGTACACATGTTGACAAGGTGACAGAATAAGGATGGCATAGTGCAACAGAAAACAGTAGAATTAAAAAAAACCCACTTATTCTTATTTTCAGCATATGCATGTTCCGCACTGTGTGCATGCCTGGTGCTCACAGAAATCAGAAAAGAGCATTGGATCCCTTGGGACTGAAGTTAGGGATAATTGTCGGATTTTGGGAACTCAGCCTGAGTCCTCTGCAAGAGAAGCAAGCGCTCCTAACCACGGCACCGTCTCTCCAGCTCTCAAGGGTTGAACCTTAGCATCAAACATTTGGTCTGAACGTGACACCAATCTTACCGCTCTATTTTTAATTACAGTTAATTCAATTAATTAATGGGGGCCACAGACATGTCTTCTCTATGATGTGGTTCTCAGGGATCAAACAGGTAGCCCTCTGAGCCGCCTTGCAAGCTCTGTTATTTGTTTTGTGTGTGTGGTGTATGCCTGTGCAGTGTGTGTGTGTGTGTGTGTGTGTGTGTGTGTGTGTGTGTGTGTGTGTAGATGCACATGCACGCAGAAGCCAGAAGAGGGCATCAGATGTCCAGCAGTATGCACTCTTTGCCTTACTTCCTTCATACAGGGTCTCCCACTGAACCTGTTCCTTCATACGGTGTTACTGGAGACTTTCTTGTCTCACCGGGTCCCAATGCTGCCTCAGCCTCAAATTAGTACACAGATGCTATATTAATTGTAAAACTGTTGGCCGATGGCTAGGGCTTCTTACTGGCTACCTCTGTTTTAATTATTAACCCACTTCTATTACTCTAAGTACGTGGGTGGTCTTGGCTTTCCAGAGAATGCCGGGACCTGCTACTCCCTTGGCGGCTACATGGCATCTCTTTGAGATGCCTCTCTGCCTACCTTTCCCAGAATTCTCCTTGTCTCCTAGTCCCGCCTATCTTCCTGCCTTTATTGATCAAACAATGCTTTATTCATCATTCAATAAGAGAGACATATATAAAGAATGACATCCCCCATCAGTCCAGGGTCTCTCACTGAACCTTACGCTAGATTGGCAGGCAGCAAAGCCCAGTGATCCTCCTGTGTCTGACCTCTCACCCTAGTACTGGAGTAGTAGACACATACGACCAAGTCTGTTTTTTTAAGTGGTGCTGGAGATTTGAACTCAGGTACTTTACGCTTGCCCAGCAAGTGCTGTTATCCACTAGGCTACCTCTCCAGCCCCCAAAGCTCCTTTTCTCTGCATATCAAGTGTCTTGATCAACACAGGAAGAGGCACTTAAACATTTGGGTCTTCACAGCATTACTCACTGCCTCAGACTGGTTTTTTCCATTCTCCCCCTCCACTGTTTATTCCCCTGCGTTTCTTTGCCTGACTTGTTTCAACCTCTTTCTGCTATCTTTATAGTCATTCATTATGCCATCCATCCATCCATCCATCCATCCCTCCCTCCCTTCCTTGAGGCATCCTGGGAGCCAGGCTCTGCCCCATTCAAAGGTACAAGAAGTCAGATCTTAGAATGTCATTGTTGTGTCCATGTCTTCCCCCACCTCCACTGCCACTTTTAGGAACTCCCAACTTGCACAGGATAAAGAATATCAAAAAGTCTACCTGATGGACACACTAGGCAGCCCAGGGAACTGTTGGTCCTGGAAGGTCCCAACGTGAGTGCATGTGTGCGTGCATGCATGCATGCGTGTGTGTGTGTGTGTGTGTGTGTGTGTGCGCGCGCGCGCATACCCCTGAACTACTGTCTCTGCAGAGTGGCTATGACAAGCAGGCTAGAGGGAGCTTGGAGTTGACAATGAACGTATGTATGCAGTTTGTTTTCCTGGGCTATGTACCACAGGCAGTAAAACAGAACCTATTCCCACGGATGAAATAGATAGGCTCTAGCTGGGTGGGAGGGTGAGGATCAGAGAGAGGATGGGGTGAAGCTATAAGACGGTCTCTTGGTTCTCAGGAACGGTAGTGTTTTCATAGTTCCTGCTTTTCCCATGTATTTTTAGCTTTTTCAATAAGCTTCAGGTACAAGGGTTCCTCGACATGTCGGCGGCCAACACTGACTTCCTTGGAGGGCAAATGGGAAGCCACATAGATTGAGAGGGTCTCTAGTAGTGGGTACTCGGAAGGATGTCCACCTCTGATCTATTATCGTTCTCCTTCCTTTTTCCTCCGATCTCCTCATCTTTTTCCTTCCCTCCCCTCTCTGGCAGGATCTCAAGTACCCCAGGCTGGCATCTGAACTCTCCGTGTAACTAAGAGGGACCATGAACCTCCTGTCCTCCTGCCTCTACTTCTGTGCTGGGATCACAGGCTTGTGCCACCACGCCAGTCCTCCCTCTCCCTACCCCACTAACCTTTCTCCCCCAGCCCCCGCCCCCCAATCCTTGGTACAAGCGGGAAACAGATCTGAGGAGCGCAAAGTTTGCCCCACACCAGTTGTGGAATAGCATTCCTACCTCTTAACCAGCCCAGAGAGGGCTGGGATAGGAATTGGGGTTTCGGGGTGTGTGTCTGAGTAGGGGAGGGTCTTCTCAGAACACTGACAGCCCCACGGTCCCCATCCCCTCCCCAGGATTGAAAAGAGGTGTCTGCGTGAAGATCAACCACTTCCCGGAGGACACGGACTACGACCATGACAGCGCGGAGTACCTGCTCCGTACGTGGGGCGGGGGGGAGTTGGTGTGGGTGTGTGTTAAGGATCCGGGTGGGATGAAGAAGGACGGTGACCAGAGTACTTGGAAGGAGGGGGGCGGAGGAAGGGACTGGGCGGAGCTTGAACCTCACTCCCGGCCAGAGGGACCGGCCTACCGGGAGTGGAGGGGTGCGGGATCGTGGGTGATGATTGGTCGGTTGGATGTCTATGGCCAGGCGATTTTGTATAGCAAGGGTTGTAGATTTGCTGCTGCGCTGGTCCGGCAATCTGCCGCCTGGACTGACGACTCCCCTGGGGAAGCCAGCGCTGCGATTGGGCTGTTATCAGAACGTGGCAAAGTCTTAATTATGACTGGCTGCTTTAGCCAGGCTCAGAAATAACAGAATCTGGTTGTCCAGGGTTTTGGGAACGAATGGTAAAGAACGAGCGGAAAGGGACAAAGAAATAAAAAAAAGGGGGGGGGGGGCGGATAAGAGAAAGATGTATACACAGGGAGGGAGGGATGAAATATGGAGATACAGGAGGGGAGAAGAAAGACGGGGAGAAAAGGAGTGGGGGAGAGAAACGTTATGGAAGTGCAGAGAGAAGGGGGATGGGAAGAAAAACAAAGAAAGAAACTTTAAAAACAGGAGGGAAAATGAGACAAAAAAGAAAAGAACCAAAGAGGCCAAATTAGCGAACTAAATTTAGCTCAGCAATGAGGGAAGCAGGCAGGGGGCGCAGTGGGCCCGGGGCGCCGTGGTCCGCCTGACCGCCCTCGCTCTCTCCTCTCGTTCCTTCTCTTTTCTTTCCTTCCCCCAGGAGTGGTCCGGGCCTCCAGCATCTTCCCGATCCTGAGCGCCATCCTGCTGCTGCTCGGGGGCGTGTGCGTGGCTGCCTCCCGCGTCTACAAATCCAAAAGGAACATCATCCTGGGCGCGGGGATCCTGTTCGTGGCAGCAGGTGAGAGGCAGAGGGAAGAGGCGGCGGGCCACCCACGGACGCACGTGGGTGTCTGCGTGTGTGCATGGGCGCATGCGACTGCAAAGCCAGCCTTCCCCAAGCGCGCCCCCTGGGGACCGGAGTTTTCCTAGCTTCCTCGCATGCTGCACCACCTCCCACTGGGTAAGGTAGGTTTAGGTTCCGTTTGCGCCTGCACAGACTGGTGTCTGTGGGTAAAGTAGGAGATAAGACGAGGCCTAGCTCTCCTAGAGAATTCTGGGAGGCGTCTGGGATGGAGGAGGGGACCTCAAACACTTGGAGTCTTAAGGCTAGGGAGGTGAGACTGACTTAGGAAGGCAGGGGCCGGAGAGGAAGAAACTGGCCTGGGTGGATCCTTAAAAGGGGCTGGTCTTAAGTGGGGGGCTAAAAACACCCTCTAGGCCAGTGGTTTCAACCTGTGGGTCGCGACCGGGTTAGGAGGTTGAATGATGCTTTCCCAGGGGGTCAGATATCAGATATCCTGGATTACGATTCTTAACAGTAGCAAAATTACTGTTATGAAGTAGCACCAGAAATAATTTTAGGGCCGGGGGTCACAACATGAAGAACTGTATTAAAGGGTGTCAGCATTAGGAAGGTTGCGAAACCACTGTTCTAGGCCCAGGAAAATTCAAGGTGCAGTGACTAGGCTTTGCCTATTTGAGTAGGAAGGCCATTTTTTTTTCTGGAAAAATTCAAAAGGAGAGAGGTTGTGCAAGAAGCTAGACCAAGGCCAGAATGTGGAGTTGATTACCGCAAGAGCTAGGGCTAGGGTTGTGCCTATGACTCGGTCAATGGAGTCCCGGCAGCCCTTGGGCCCATCCCGAGCTAGCCTTGCGTAACCCCGATGTGTGATGCCTGCCTGATCCTGGAGGATCAGACGTTCAGGGTCATCCTTGGCTACACGAAGAGTTTGAGGCCTGCCTAGGCTTTGTGAGAAATCTCAAAGTAAAGACTTCCCCACCCCTAAATGAAACTGGCCTAGGGTAGCAGACACCAGGACACTGAGTCTTTTTTGTTTTTTGTTGTTGTTTTGTTTTTGGTTTTTTGTTTTGTTTTTTCGAGACAGGGTTTCTCTGTGGCTTTGGAGGCTGTCCTGGAACTCGCTTGGTAGTCCAGGCTGGTCTCGAACTCACAGAGATCCACCTGCCTCTGCCTCCCGAGTGCTGGGATTAAAGGCGTGCGCCACCAACACCCGGCTCAGGACACTGAGTTTTAAGGAGCAGCGCTCAGACCCGCTAGTTCAGGGTAAGGTTAGGGCTGGAAAGTGCGGTAGAATGCAGAAAAGGCTCCCTTCTTCCACACAGCCATGTAGTTTAGGCCAATACAAGCGGGGCTTGCTCTAGATTGCCCAGGTTTAGACCAATGGGTTACAGGGTTTAGCCCCTCCCCCAGAGATTAGATTGACGAGGGCGGAGCTTGCAATCCCAGAGAGGAGTTTGACACATTTAAATAGCAGAGGCTGTGTTGTGGAGAACGGCGGTCTAGACCTGCTCAGGGAGGGACTAGTTAGGTCCAGGAGAGGTACGTGCCAAGGTGACTATACTGGCCTACACCTACACGGCCCCGGGGTTGGGCTTGGAGTAGAAGGAAGGTTTATTCTAATAGGGGCAAATTTAAGGCTGGCAAGGGTGGACTAGATTAGAGACCCAGGCCAGGGGGAGCTAGGTCAGCAATGGGCAGAACCTGGAGGTCTGAAGTGGAATTGCATCATTAGCAGCAAAAAGTAGCAGAGGGAGGGACCTGGGGGAAAAGATGGGTTTATACTTTGGACAGGACCTGGAAACCGAGCCTAGCTGTTCTGGGGGCAGAGTTTAGACCCACTGAAGCTGGATAGGAAGGGACAGAACCTGGACTGCCCTGGGTCGATACCTAGGCTGTGGGAAGAATCAAGATCATTGGGACAGGAGTGGGCATTCTCAGCCACTGTCAGGACTCTCCAAGGTAAGGTCCGAGTCTTCTTGGGGGCAAGGCCTCGACCACATAGGGGTGCAAATTAGACGCATATAAGAAAGGCCTACGAAACTTATGAGTGGCGAAGGGGCCAGGGCCAGGTAAGGGTGGGGCCAAGATTTAGGGGGTGTGTGACGATAACACAGAGGGCAGAGGCTAGACCTCCAAGGGAAGTTTTTTTAGGCCAATGAGGGAGGGGCTTAATTAGAATTTTGAACTGGGGGTTTAGACCAATGAGGATGGGACTTAGACTGCTGAAGATGGTTTAGGCTTGGACCCCTCTGATGGGCTTAGGTTCTTGAGGCGGAGTTAGCCCACTGGAGTGGTACTTAAACTGCTTGGGGTTGAAGTTCACATCGGTGGCAGAGGCACTTAGACTCTTAGGATGGAATTTAGTCCATCAAGGGTGGGGCTTAAGTTCTCAGGTGGACTTTCGGGAGCAGGGCTGCGACTTCTGGAGTAGAATTTGGCTCAGTGGCAACAAGGGTGGAGTTTATCTTAATGGGCTCAGGATTTAAGACAGTTGGGTGGAATCCACTCCAACAGAGGTAGATCTTAAGACTCTTGGGTCTAACCTTAGACCAGTGGGATGGGTTTAGAATCCTGAGTAAAGTTTAGGCCAATGGGGTGGGGCTTAGACCAGGTGGGCGGGACTTAAGACTCCTGAGGTGGGGTTTAATCGAGTGGGTCTCCTGGAGTAGTTTTTAGCTCAGTGGGTCTCAGGGCTTAGACTGGGGGAGGGGGAGTGAAGCCTAGCTCAGTAGAGGGCCCGGTTTAGACTTCAGGGGGGTTAAAGACGGCCAAGGGGACTGCGGGGCCCTGGGGACAGCGGCCTCGAGGCTCCCACATGACCGTCTCCATCCAGGCCTGAGCAACATCATCGGGGTGATCGTGTACATATCTGCCAACGCGGGCGAGCCGGGCCCCAAGAGGGACGAGGAGAAGAAAAACCACTACTCGTACGGCTGGTCCTTCTACTTCGGCGGGCTGTCCTTCATCCTGGCCGAGGTGATCGGCGTGCTGGCCGTCAACATCTACATCGAGCGCAGCCGCGAGGCGCACTGCCAATCTCGCTCGGACCTGCTCAAGGCCGGCGGCGGCGCGGGCGGCAGTGGCGGGAGCGGCCCCTCGGCCATCCTCCGTCTGCCCAGTTACCGCTTCCGCTACCGCCGCCGCTCCCGCTCCAGCTCCCGAGGCTCCAGCGAGGCGTCGCCGTCGCGGGACGCGTCTCCCGGAGGCCCCGGGGGCCCGGGCTTCGCCTCCACGGACATCTCTATGTACACGCTCAGCCGCGACCCGTCCAAGGGCAGCGTGGCTGCGGGGCTGGCGGGCGCCGGGGGCGGTGGCGGCGGCGGCGGCGGCGGTGGCGGTGGCGTGGGCGCCTACGGCGGGGCGGCCGGCGGCACGGGGGGCGGCGGGGCGGGCGCCGAGCGGGACCGCGGGGGCGCAGCGGGCTTTCTCACGCTGCACAACGCCTTCCCCAAGGAGGCGGGGTCCGGCGTCACGGTCACGGTCACCGGACCGCCCTCTGCCCCCGCGCCCGCGCCGCCCGCTCCCGCAGCGCCCGCGCCGGGGACCCTGTCCAAAGAGGCCGCCGCGTCCAACACCAACACGCTCAACAGGAAAACCACGCCGGTGTAGGGCGCGCGCGCCCTCGCGGGGAGACAAGGGGGGGGGCGCGTCCGGGGCGCGTGCGCGGGCGCGCGTGCAATGAGGCCGCCGGATCGAGGTTCCCCCCCACCCCTCCCAGCTCGAGCCCCGCGAGCGCGCTGGACACCGCTGGGGCCTTCCAGCCCCTCCCTGCGCCCCTCCTGCACCCTCTACCCCCCGGGCGTGGGGAGCCCCGTCACGCTCCGAAGCAGGGACCCTTGGGGTGGGGGACGGGTCGGGGAAAAGGGGCTCTGGCGTGGGAGCGCTGTGTTTTATTTTTGTGTGTGTGTGTAGGGGGGGAATTTCAAGGGAGGGAGGGAGGGCCGTGGTGTTTTTTGCAGTTTTGAGATGTTTTCTTTTTAAATGTTTTGCTGTGTGCATGTGGGGGCGGGGGGAGGGAGGGGAGGGACTCCCAGCCCGGCCCAGCCCAACTCCTGGAGAGGGGCTCATAACACATGAATATAGAGTTACATCTACAACTATATATACACATGTTCTGTATAAAGAGACAGGCCAGCAGAAGGCAAAGGCCAAGGGAGGGACGCGCTGACATTTAGTTCACTTTTTCATTCATCTCTCGACAAGGGCTTATTAAGCACCTACTATGTACCTGGCGATGGGTACAGAAGGCGGTGCTATGGAGGAGGGGACATAAACGCAGGCGCATCCCTCCATCCATTCCTGGAAATTGTATGTGTGTGTGTGTGTGTGTGTGTGTGTGTGTGCGCGCGCGCGCGCGCGCACGTAACCGCTAGGCGTTGTACCACGGGGGAGAGAACAGGGTCCCTGGCGTCCTCATAGGGTTTGCATCTTGTACATGAGACGGCCATTAACCACAGAATCATGTACCTACCCAGTAAATGACACTTAGAAATGCGCAGGCCCGCTGGGGCTGTAGCTCTCGGTTCCTACAGAGTGTGCTTTTGTAACAAGCCCTGGGTTACATCCGCAGCATTGCATAAACTGGGCATAAGCGGTGCACACCTGTAATTCCAACCCTTGGGACGCGGAAGGCGAAAGCGGGAGCATCGCGCTCTCAACGTCATCCGGGCTGTGTTTGAAGGTCATTTGGGCTGTGTGCTGAGACTGAGGCCATACTGGACTATGTCACTCTGGTGTTTTTAAAAAGGCACACCCGGGGAAGGGGGGGGGTGAGCGTGAATATGAGATGGTCCAGAGCCCTCCAAGGTAGGGTAATTAACCCAGTTTGGGGAGGGGACAGCCAACTACACTGACAATGAATGAATGGTACTCGCTAGTCAGACCTGGGATGAAGTCACCCGGGTAGAACATTGAACATACCAAGGTCCTGGGACAGGAAGCCCTACCAGGATGCCCCTGAAGTTGCAGTGAGCCAGCTATGGTTGAGCCTAGAGCCTGGAGTCAAACTGGTTCGGGACTCCCAAGTGACTTATTATGAGACCAACAAAAGGGCCCCGAAAGCGGCTTTGAGCAGGAACAGAGCACAAAGAGAGGAACTCGGAAGAGTTAAGAGGCGGAGGCCCCCTGTGGGCGGCAGAACATTCTGCCACGAATGCTGGATCTCAGGCGTGGTGTCTGGTGTTCAGGAGCCTGGGAGGAGGTTGGGAGTCATTTCCCATCCATCCATTCAAGGGGCTAGAGAGATGGCTCCACAGTTAACAGCACTGGCTGTTCTTCCAGAGGACCTGGGTTCGATTCCCAGCACCCACACTGCAGTTCACAAGCTTCTTTAACTCCAGTTCTAGGGAAGCTGCATCCTCTTCCGGCCTCCACAGGCACACATATGCGTGTGGTTCATAGACAGCCGTGCAGACAGAGTGTCCATTCCCAAAAACTAAAACAGACATCTGAAAAAGGGGAAGAGAGCGGTCAGAAACACTGTGCAGAACTTGCCGTTTCTCCATTCACTGATTCAGCCACTCACCCACTAACCCTTAAGCAACCAACCACCAGCATTCTGTGCCGGGTGAGCTGGGACCTGTGTGTGTGTGTGTGTGTGTGTGTGTGTGTGTGTGTGTGTGTGTGAGATGACTGTTCTGCTGTCAGTGTCAAAGACATGCCATCCAGGCAGGGCAGTGAATGCTGTATCAGGGTCACGGTGGTCACCTGAGAACACAGGACAGAGTCACCCACTGCCAAAAGTGCGCTGGGGGGGGCGACGACGGAAGTAGCATCGTAGCGCATGCAGTGCCTGGACTTAGAGGACCAGCAGGTGTCTGGGACGTGCTGGGGGAAGTATAACAGCGTGACGTGCAGGAGGTGGGGGGGGTGGACAAGGGCAATTTCTCCAGGATGCTCAAGTCCAGGGGCAAAGCTGGAGGATCGACAGACCAGAGTCTTAACAGTGACCTGAGTTCCAGACTGAGGGGGCCTGGGCTTTCTTCTCCAGGGGAGAATGAAAGAGACTTGAACTGGGTGGGGGGGGGGTCTTAGAGTAGACAGAAGACGAGAGACCTGGCAGCCACTCAGCAGGCAGAGAGCGGTTCTTACTGGTTTCACTAGCTCAGCAGATAATCCCCGAGGGCTGTGCGCCAGCCCGGTACTCGGTGATGCTGGAGAGATTAGCCCTTTCTCAGAGGGCTTGCGAGCTGAAGGGAAAACCAGCTCAGAGGACGTGAGGGAGGGAAGAAGCGTGGGGCAGGGAGAAGGGAGCCCACGGCCTGGGTCTGAGAGGTGTGCTCCGGGAGCCCTCACGAACGGCGCACACCGTCATCCCAGGACCGAGGCTGGGGCAGGAGGACTGTCAACTTGAGGCTGCCCCAAGGCTAAGAGGCGGACTCCAGAAAATGCAAACGAGTTGCTCAGTTGGGGGAGTGCTTGATGAGCCCTGGGTTCCATCCTCAGCCTCATAATAAGGCAGGCGTGATAAGGCGTGCGTGCAATCCCTGTCTCGGGACGCGTGAGCCCCAACAACGTCCAACAAAAAAGGGGCGGGGGAGGGAGACATTTGCTTTGGGGGCTCAGATGGCACTAGAAGGTGGGGAGGCCGAGTCGGGGGCCTGGTTGGACATTGCGAGGGCCCTTCAGGAAGAGACGCTGGGAAACCAGGAAAGGTATGTAAGCTAGTGGTGGTGGGGGCTGGCGTGGGGAGGGCGACTCGCGGAGTGTCTAGGCATAGTGAGGGGTGGGGCAAAAGAGACGGAGTTCAAAGGTTAAACCCGGAGCAAAGGGGAGGTAGGGAGTGGGCAGGAGGAAGTGAGATGGGGGGCGGGGGCAGAAGAGGACAAAACCAGGTGTGCTTCAGAGATAGGAGGCATAAACAAAGGCGATCCTGAGGGGGAAAGATGGGGGAGCGCTGGTGAAAGCTTGGCAGCCAGAGGCACCAAGCCGGCAAGACACAAACCAGCAACAGGAAACCTGAACCTCACAGAGGCAGAGGCAGGTAAGAAGCCCACGAGGCACAGAGGACTGGGCTGCTTCTTGTCGTTTAAGAAATGGATGTTAGCCGGGCGTTGGTGGCGCACGCCTTTAATCCCAGCACTCGGGAGGCAGAGGCAGGCGGATCTCTGTGAGTTCGAGGCTGGGCTGGACCGACAGCCTCCAAAACAATACAGAGAAACCCTGTCTCGAAAAAAACCAAAACAAAAACAAAAAAAAAAAAAAGAAATGGATGTTATTTGAACAGGACATCACTGTGTAGGTCAGGCTGGCCTGGAACCCACAGAGGCCTGCCTCTGCCTCCTGAGTGCCAGGATTAAAGGTGTGCACCGCCCCACCCCGCCTATCTTTTATTTTAACATTAGAATGTTGGGCTGAGGAGGTGGTGCAGTGGTCAAGAATGTGGCCAGCTCTGTGAAAGGACCGGAGTTCAGATCCCAGCACCCACTTATCAAGTGGCTGATGACCCCAGACCCAGGGATCCAGTACCCTCTTGAGATCTCTCTCCATGGGTGTACCCCTCATACAAGTGCGTGTGCGTTCTCTCTTTGCATCCTCTCCCCTCTCCTGTACACGGGACATGCACACATACACATAAAACTAGCAAAAGAGAGATGCTTTGTATGCTGGTCCTGGTGGTGCAGACCTCAGGGAGCTGAGGAAGGAGGGCCGCCTGCTTGACGCACTGAGTTCAAGACCAGCTTGGTGAGACTGTTAACAATCAGGAAGCAAAAGAGAGGGAAGATGATATAATCCAGTGGTACAGCCCCTGTCTAGAATCCCCCAGTGAGGGGTTAGAGGTGTGGTCCAGTGGTAGAGCCCCTACCTAGAATCCCCCAGTGAGGGGCCGGGGGTGTGGCTTAGTGGTAGAGCACCTGCCTATAATCCCCCAGTGAGGGGCCGGGGGTGTGGCTTAGTGGTAGAGCCCCTGCCTAGAAACCCCCAGTCCCCCAGTGAGGAGCCGGGGGGGGGGTGTGGCTTAGTGGTAGAGCACCTGCCTATAATCCCCCAGTGAGGAGCCAGGGGTGTGGCTTAGTGGTAGAGCCCCTGCCTAGAAACCCCCAGTGAGGTGTGGAGATGTGGCTCAGTGATAGAGCCTACCATGTATGAGGAGCTAGAGTCAATAAGTGGAGTGAAGGAGGGAGGGAGGGAGGGAGGGAGGGAGGCAGGCAGGCAGGCAGCTATCTGTCCTAGATCATCTGAAGAGACTCCCTATATCATGGAAGACAGACAGCAGAGAGAAGAATGGCTTGGGACTAGATAGCCTCCCAAGGCACACCAAGCAATGTCCTTCACCTCATTCTGCCCTCCACTTCCTCCTGGTAAAGCCACCATATGAATCCATGAAGGGATTAACCCATTGCCTGAGCCCCCAGGATCCAATAACTTCCCCAAAGCCTAACAATCTAAAGCAGCATTCTTAACATCTGCCACGGGATCATCTCGCATTCAAATCAGAAGTGAGGACAGACAAGGGACTACTGTTTTGGGACATCTCCAAGCGGGGGCTTGGGGTGGGGGTGGGGGTGCCGAAGGGGGTGGGCAGCAAATACTTAGGTCCATAAATGAAGGCCAGGCATGAGGCTGCTGGTGTGACTCAGATGGTGGTGAGCTTGTTTAGGACCCACGAGGTCCTGAGTTCAATCCCCAGCCCCGCATAAACCTGGAGGTGGTGCCTGCACACCATTGTTCCCCCAGCAGCGGTTGGGAGACAGAGGCGGGAGGATCAGAAGTTCAAGGTCATTTTCGGCCACATGAGGAATTTGAAGCTAGCCAGGGATACACGGGACATTTTATAAAAAAGGAAAAGAGAGCCGGGCGTTGGTGGCGCACGCCTTTAATCCCAGCACTCGGGAGGCAGAGGCAGGCGGATCTCTGTGAGTTCGAGGCCAGGCTGGTTTACAGAGTGAGTTCCAGGACAGCCTCCAAAGCCACAGAGAAACCCTGTCTCAAAAAACCAAAAAAAAAAAAAAGAATGGGTCCATCAGGAACCTCACTTTGACGTCACTATGAGAGAGAGAGACAGAGAGACAGAGACAGAGACAGAGAGACAGAGACAGAGACAGAGAGACAGATAGAGATGGGGGAGGGGGAGAAAGAAAATCTGTCGTATTTTGTTCCAGTTCTGACGGGAAACATCTGGAGAGCTTTAAGCACAGGCATGTCAGGGTCACAGTTTCGTTTAAACAAAACAATAACTTAATCCCATTATCTCGCTGCTGCGAATGATCTCAGAGTCAGAAAGAGGGGCTGGGGGGGGGTGCCTGTACTCCAGCACTCGGGAAGTGAAAGAGAGAAAATCAGGAGTTCAAAGCCCCTGTCCTCGGCTACATGAGACTCTCTGTCTGCCTTCCATACAAACCTGGGAGTGTGGCTCAGTGGGTAGGGTAATTTCCCTTCGTTGCATCCCCACCACTGTATAAATGGCGCGGTGGCTCAGGCGGTAAACCTAGCATTTGGGCGTGAGAGGCTGGAAGATCAGGAGCTCAGGGCCAGCTTGAGCCACATGGAAACAACAAAAAATGGTAAAGGGAGGTAAACACTAGGGGCACGGAATTTACAGATCGTGTCTACAGCGGCGGTGAGCTGGGCCTGGGGGCAGGGGGACACCGAGAAACCAAGGTTAAAAGAGGAAAAGGAATCTGAGCTGAAGTTGCACCGTTGCATACCGGACAGATTTTAGGTGGGAGGAACCTAGGGTTCTCTTTTGGACATGCCCAGCTGGTGATGCCTCTGGAAATCCAAGTCAGGGTATCCGGTAGCCCGCTGGTTATGATGAGAGTGGTGAAGAGGTCAGGGCTGGAAATACAAGTTTTAGTAATGTCAGCACACAGAAGACACTTAAAGCCATAGAGTGGGGTAGCTTTGAAGAGTTACGACCCTGGTTTAGAAATTTGGGGACATCTAAAGGGGGTAAGCAGAAAGGCAGACCCTCTCAGAAGTAAATGAAGTATTCGTGGGTGTGGCAAAGTGGTTAGAGCCCCTGCCAAGAATCCCCCAGTGAGAGGCTGGGGGTGTGTCTCAGTGATAGAGCATCTGCCTAGAATTCCCCCAATGAGGGGGTTGATAGTATGACTCAGTGGTAGAGTTCCTGCCTAGAATCCCCCAATGAGGGGCTGACGGTGTGGCTCAGTGGTAGAGCACCTATGTAGAATCTCCCAATGAGTGGCTGGGCTGTGGCTAAGGGTTAGAGCCCCTGCCTAGAATTCCCCAGTGAGGGGCTGGGGGCGTGGCTTAGCGGTACAGTCCCAGCTTAGAATCCCCCAGTGAGGGTCTGGAGGCGTGGCTCGGTGGTACAGTCCCAGCTTAGAATCCCCCAGTGAGGGGCTGGGGGCGTGGCTTAGCGGTACAGTCCCAGCTTAGAATCCCCCAGTGAGGGGCTGGGGGCGTGGCTCATCCGTAGAGCATCTGCCCCAGGTTCACTCCCTAGTACAAAAGGAAGAGTGGGAAGTACATAATGTTTTATGAAGCAGGAAGTCAGCCATCTGTGCCCAGCGCTGCTGAGGGCTGGAAAAAGATAGGAAAGACTAGAAGGCTCGTTACATGCGCAGTGGTGACAAACTCAACAAGAGGTGACTTCTGTCTGATTTCAGAGCTAAAGGCCTCGATCCAGCATTGGAGGGGGTGGGGCGGGGGTGGGGTGAGAAGAGGGGAACGGAATCCAAGCAATTATTATTCTGGTATGAAAATGACACAGAGCTGGGTGCCGCGGTTCACGCCGATAATCCCAGCACTAAGGAGGCTGATGCAGGGGGTTGATACAGCTCAAGGCCTGCCTGAGCTTCAGAGGGAGACATTTTCTTAGGACAATAAAAAACAGGTATTTTAAAGAGGGCCAGTGAGACAGATTGGCAGGTAGCACACCGGCTGGCAACTCCGATCACCTCAGTTTAAACCTTGCCCTGGATCTACATGGTAGAGGGAAAAACTGACTCCTACAAGTTGCTCTCTGACATCCATATACAAACCATGACATGCATGCCCCTGTGCTATCCCAAAATAAATGCAAATTTTCTTAAATTTAAAAATAAAGGAGGTGGGCGGTGGTGGCGCACGCCTTTAATCCCAGCACTCTGGAGGCAGAGGCAGGCGGATCTCTGTGAATTCGAGGCCAGCCTGGTCTACAGAGTGAGTGCCAGGACAGCCTCCAAAACAATACAGAGAAGCCCTGTCTAGAAAAACAAAAATAAATTGATACATAAATAAATAAGGAAAACGTCCAAGCAAGAAGACAGAAAACACACCCCGAATTTCAAGAGCTACTGCAGCAGATGGGCTGAGAAGGATGAGGAGATTCAGGGCCCAGGAGAGAGGGGTGCAGGGAGACCAGCTCAGTAGCTGTCAGGGAAGAAAGGCTCAGGAGGACTTGCAAAACGGGGCTGTCCAATCCACTCTCCAGCTCCGGCTGCTGACCCTGTGGGGCTTGGAGGCCACCCAGCCCTGCGAGATCCCGGGAAGCTCCCTTCCTTCCTTCAGAAATGAAAATGCACTCCCTGCTGAGGGATGTCTTCTGGGGACTTGGGGATGCCAGGCTCTGCCATTTTAGAGCGGGGGTCCACCTGGTCACGGAATGCGGAGACAGGTAGCGTAGCCAGGCAGGCCGAGGAGGGACGAGTTGTCCTGGCGGACATGCAGGAGGGGTAGGTCACATCTCGTCACACCAGGCCATTCACATCACCCCACCGAAGATGATACTGGAGAGGACCATGGCCGTTGGGCCAGTCTGAGGGGAGAGCCAGACACCCGATGATCGCCTCCCCTTGGAGGGCCAGCAGAGGCCGCCTGGGGGTTTCAGGGGCCTGGGCACGGCACCTGGGGAAGGAAGGAGTTGGTAAAGGGTGGGTCCCACCTGGGTGGTTCACAGGAGGACTGAGGGAGGGAGTGAGGGGTTAAGACTCAGGCCCTGCAGCCATGCCGAACTTACGGTTGTACCCTGTCCGGGTCTCTGCCCCTGGGGGAGCTGAGACTGCATGGGAGGGTGTGTGCGCACGTGCGTGCGTGTGTGTGTGTGTGTGTGTGTGTGTGTGAGTGTGTGTGTGTGTCCGCCGACACCAGTCTAATAAATCCAATGAGGACATTCCTCTGCTTCAGCCTCTCCCCGCCCCCATGCTCTGCCTTTTCTGCCTTGGTGGGGGGAGGGGCTGAAGATTCAACACTGCGATTGATTTGTCTACTGATACCCAGGATTCTGGCGGCGATGGGCTCTTCCAGGCCTTGAAGTGAAGGTTCAGACAACTCCTCGTGGAACACAGGTCTTAGTCCTCCTTCCTCAGAGCCCGGGGCCCACCCCTACCTCCTACTTCCCCCATCCCCAAGTCTAGACTCCAGGGTCAGGCTCAGCCCTCCTCCCTCAGACAAGGGAGTCCAGGCCCCAGCCTCCTCCCTCAGACCCAGGAGTCCAGACTTCAGCCTCCTCCCTCAGACCCAGGAGTCCAGGCCCCAGCCTCCTCCCTCAGACACAAGGATCCAGGCCCCAGCCTCCTCCCTCAGACCCAGGAGTCCAGGCCCCAGCCTCCTCCCTCAGACACAAGGATCCAGGCCCCACCTCCTCCCTCAGACCCGGGAGTCCAGGCCCCAGCCTCCTCCCTCAAACACAGGAGTCCAGGCCCCAGCCTCCTCCCTCAGACACAGGAGTCCAGGCCTCAGCCTCCTCCCTCAGACCCAGGAGTCCAGACTTCAGCCTCCTCCCTCAGACCCAGGAGTCCAGGCCCCAGCCTCCTCCCTCAGACCCAGGAGTCCAGACCGCAGTCTCCTCCCTCAGACCCAGGAGTCCAGACTTCAGCCTCCTCCCTCAGACCCAGGAGTCCAGGCCCCAGCCTCCTCCCTCAGACCCAGGAGTCCAGACCGCAGCCTCCTCCCTCAGACCCAGGAGTCCAGACCGCAGTCCTCCGACCTCAGGACCAGAAATTTACACTGAAGACCTCCTCCCTCATACCTAGGAGTTCCACTTTTTTTCTCCATGAAACCCAGGAGTGCGAGCCTAAGCCCTTCACCACCTCACACTCGGGAGTCCGGACCCAGCCCCTCCTCTCCAAACCCAGAAGCCCGCACTCAAGTCCTCCACCCTCAGACTCAGGGGTCCACCCCACCCCCACCTCCAGTCCTTTCCTCCCTAGCCCCTGGCCCTCGGAATCCAGCAGTTCGGCGAGCCAGTCTCCAGCCCAGCCAGCTCAGGACAGAAACCCTAAGTTCTCAATCCTTTACTGGCCCCAGGCCTGCAGATTTTGGAGTCTGGACTTTGCAGCCCCGCCTCCGGACCCTCGGGGGTGGGGTGGTGCGGGACAAATCTCCGTCGGTCCTGCCTCTAGAAGCCCCGGCCCCCAGCCCCTCCTTCCTAGAGGCCTCCCTCCCCCGCCCCTTGTCCCCTTAAAATACCCGGGATCCCTATGGCAACAGGCGCCCGCGACAGGTGCGGGTGTTATTTACGGGTCGAGCCCGAAATAGCCGGTGGGGTGAGGGGGTGGGCGGATGGGGCGAGGCCCGGAGCGAGCGCAGCGGGGCCGGAGGGCCGAGCGGGCGGAGGCGAGCATAAGCCGGGCGTAGCTTTCGGAGGCTTCGCGGAGCTGGGGCCGGCGCGGCGCGGAGGCAGGAGAGCGCGAGGGGGGCCCGTGCCCCGGGGGACCCGGGTGGGAAGACCGAGGGGAGCGCGGGACCCCGAGCTGAGTCTGGAGCGATCCCGGCCCGGCCGGCCCTGGGAGCCCGGGGGAGGGGGAGCCGAGCGACTGGAGGCAGACTCGCCGAGTGTCCCTTCCCAGGTCCTGTGTCCCCCCAGGGTGCTTTGCTCTGGCTCTCCGAGACGCACAGTGTGGATGGACCACAGTGCCTTGGGCTGAGCCCTGTCGGGACCCTGGTCCTCCTCCTGGGCTCTCAGAGAGTCCCCCCAGCCTTTTTTTTTTTTTTCCTGGACTCCCACCGTGATTCTCAGTCACCGTGGAGACTCGGGCTCTTTTCTGAGTAGTTAATGACTCACCCATCCCCTCTCTTTCCCTGGAATTCCAGTGGGGGCACTCGGATCTGCTATTGGAGGATCCTCCTTGTCTCTGAGACTCGGAGGGGTTCCTAATCTCCCCCCCCCGGGAAACTCCCAATGCTAACTTGTGTAATCTGAAGGTGTGTGAGATTCCTCCCTTTTCAAACTCGGAGCCCGAAGAACCCTAGACCGTCTCTCTCAAACACACGGAATACCTCAGTTCCCCTCTTTGGGAAGATTCGGAGGCTTGCAGCAGACCCCATCAGCATCCCGTAGAGACTGGGCTCCCAGAGTGGGTGAGCCTCACAGGAGCTCGACTTTCCCTCTAGGCCTCGCCCGTGCCGCATTCACGCGCACAAGTGTCTGTGTAAACCCTACCAGGCATCCTTAGGCCGAGAAAATAGCAGGGTTTTTTGTTGTTGTTATTGTTGTTGTTTATTTTTCCTTTCCTGAGAGGCAGAGGCCTCTAGGATTTGGGGGTTCAACTTTTGCTCATTCCCAATCTAGTTGTCACTGAGCCCCCCCCCAACTTCCTTCGAAAGTCCAGGGCTGCTCCCTACCGCCCCCCAGGCCCCCTGCACGGCTCTGTCTGACTCCTCAAAGCTCGCCTGGTCCCTGCCCGCCCGCTCCCATCATCATGATGATGTGGTCTAACTTCTTCATGCAAGAGGAGGACCGCCGTCGAGCGGCTGTGGGCCGGCGTCGTGCCCAGGGACAGCAGAATCTCGGCTTGACTCCGGAGCGGGAGGGCAAGATCAAGCTGGCGTTGCTGTTGGCTACCGTGGGTGCCACGCTGGCTGTGCTGTCGGTGGGCACCGAGTTCTGGGTGGAACTTTATACATACAAGACCAACGGCAGCGCCGTCTGCGAGGCCGCCCATATGGGGCTTTGGAAGGTGTGCGTCAAACGACTGTGGCAGGCGGACGTGCCCGCGGGCAGGGATACCTGTGGCCCGGCTGAGCTGCCAGGAGGTGAGAGGTTGTGTCCTGAGCTTTCTCAGGGAGAAAGACGCTTGTGTCTGGGAAAACCTTGTTGTAAGGGGGAAAAAAAAGTCTTAACCCTGAGAAAGAGTTTGTGCCCCCATCACAGAAACTGGAGAGGAAGTGGATGGGGGGAGAGAAACCCAGACATAGCCCATGTCCTTAAGTAGCATATCCCTTAAAGAAACTTATTTCTTATAAAGTTTGTTCTAGCTATGGCCTGTGCCCCAGACCAGCCTGTACCCCTTGGAGACAGCCTGTGTGCCTCCAGACCCAGCTGGTACCCTCAGAACAGTCTGTAACCGCCCCCGCCAACCCGTATCCCCTAGAACTGCCGTCATTCCCCCCATCAGACAGCCATGCACCCACAGACAGCCTGTGCCCTTAACGAGAAGCCTGGAGACATCCCACATTCCCTCTCTGTGAGCCTCTGTGCAGACAGACCACCCTACGCCCACCCGGAAGTAAAAAAAAATCTGTGCTGATTCCCTGTTTGTGGATACAATCAGATGAAGTGTGCGCATTGTCTGTCCTGGGAAATGTTTATTTCCATTCCCTCCGAGCTGTGCGTGGTCAGAGCAGACATTCCAACCCTTCTCCCTTGCTCGACAGACATTGTACCCTTCACTTCCCCACGGGTGGGTGACTCCTTTGTGCTCAGCCATGCCAGCGAGCTACCCTTTACCCCACTCTCTCTGACAGAACACGGTATGCCCTGTCCTTACACAAGTGGGACATTCTATACTCCCCTGGGAACTGGATAGGTGTTTATTTTACCTCTTTTGACTCAAGGACAGTATTTGACACCCATCGAAAACCACTTTGGATATCATTTGTTTGATGAGCTCCGGCGAGCTGCTCCCCAGTAGTCTTAGGACCCCTCAAGGGGACCTAACCTTTCGCCTCCTTCTGTGCTCTGGATTTCATTCCCCAACCCCTGCTTTTCCAGATGGGATACGGAACCCGACATGGGGTGCTTTAAGCCTTGGAAGTGGGAAGGCACTGTTTGCAGCTTGGCTTGAGCTACCTGTCCTGATCAGCTATCACAAACAGTTCTTTTCTGGTGTTTCTCACTGCTCGGGACCTCAGTCAAGATGATTGCAAACCTTTGCAGAATGGGACAGTGTAAACGGGTACAGGACACTAGCCAGGCCTGGAGGTGCAGTTCTGTAATCACAGGCACTCGGGAGGCAGAGGCAGGAGGACTGTGAGCTCAAGGGCAGCCTGGGATACAGAGGGAGGTCAGAGTCAGCCTGGGTAACTTTGTGAGATCCTCCCTCTGTGTCTCTGTCTCTCTGTATGTCTGTGTCTCTCTGTCTCTGTCTGAGACAGTGTTTTTCTGTGTAACAGCCCTGGCTGTCTTGGAACTCACAGAGATCCACCTACCTCTGCCTCCCAAGTGCTGGGATGAAGGGCGTACGCACCGTCCGGCCCTGAGATCCTCTCCTAAAAAGCAAAAAGATGGTTGGGGACATGCCTCAGTGGTAGAACACTTGCAGAGAGTTCCCCAGTGAGGGGCTGGGTGTGTGGCTCAGAGGTAGAGCACCTGCCTAGAATCCCCCAGTGAGGAGCTGTGGCTGTGGCTCAGAGGTAGAGCCCCTGCCTAGAATGCCCCAGTGAGGGGCTAGGGTGTAACTCAGTGATGGAGCACCTGCCTAGAATCCCCCAGTGAGGGGCTGGGGTGTGGCTCAGTGGTAGAGCCCCTGCCTAGAATACCCCAGTGAGGGGCTGGGGTGTGGCTCAGTGGTAGAGCCCCTGCCTAGAATCCCCCAGTGAGGGGCTGAGGTGTGGCTCAGAGGTAGAGCCCCTGCCTAGAATCCCCCAGTGAGGGGCTGGGGTATGGCTCAGAGGTAGAGCCCCTGCCTAGAATCCCCCAGTGAGGGGCTGAGGTGTGGCTCAGAGGTAGAGCCCCTGCCTAGAATCCCCCAGTGAGGGGCTGGGGTGTGGCTCAGTGGTGGATTACCACCATACATGTTCTTCTGGGGATAAAATTAAGAAGGAAGAACTCTTGGTACCCAGCCTGTGCCTTGGGCTGGTTCTGTGGGGCTTGGCTCTCGGCGTGTGTCATTAGAGCTTAGGAAGGTCTCAGAGACCCTCCATCTCGGAGAGAGGGGACTGTTCCCTGCCACTTCACCATGTATGATGAGGTCCTTCATATCTCTTGCTGTTTCCTCTACTAGTCAGAAAGGACTTCACCACTGAGCACGGCGGCACACACCAGTACTCAGGAGGCAGAAGCAGGGAGGCCAGGAGTTCAAAGCCAGCTTGGCTACATAGTGAAGTTGTAGGCCAGCCTAGGCCGCATAATACCTTGTGTTAAGAAAAACAAACAAACAAGTAACCAAACAAAAAACAAAGGAAGAGGATTTCACCTTTCTTACAAAGCCATTCCCAACATCCCATAATTCTGTCCCATCAGAGGATCTCTCTTGGACTCCACTGTCCCAAAGAAATAACTTCACTTGAAAAAGAAAGCCGTTAATGTCCCTTGGCTATCAGAGAGTGACTCGCTCTGTTGCTTCCCAAGTGAGTTTGCCCTACCCTCTGGGGGACACGGACACAAAGTCCTGTTATCAGCAGCCAAACGGGATGCCAGACACCAACCACACCCAGCCCCAGAAGAGACTCTGCATTCCCTCATGGGTATAGAATGTCATCCTCTACCAGTGGCTGCAGAGAGCATCTTCCTTTCACGGGAAGTGGGCTTTGTCTCTCGGTGTTGTGGGATGACGGGCTGACGCTTGGAGCTGCTGCAGCCTGGAAACGACAAACCTTTCTTCACCAAGCTGATATCCGGCATGCCCCACACCCTCCCTTGATGTGGCTCTGTCCCCTTGCCCCTTCGTATCTCCCCTTCTATTGATAATGTTCCATTTCTACTTCTCCATGTTGTCTGGCCCCAGTTTCTGTGCTCCCAACTACTTGTAGGTCAGAGCGTAGAATGCACTTTAGGATTCAGGATGCAGTTCAGTTGTCGTGATGCTTGCCTAGCGTGCGAGTCCTGAGTTTGATCCCCACCATCACATAAACCGGGCGTGGTACCACACACCTGTAGCTCTAGCACTTGGGAGGAGGAGGCAGGAGGGTCAGAAGTTCAAGGCTGTCCTTTACTTCACAGCAGGCTCAAGGTCAGTGTAGGATACGTGCAACCCTGTCTTAGCAAGTTAGGCATACTTAAATTAGCAACGGCATTGAGTGAGTCTTACGTGTGTTTACATAAAACGTATACATAGAAATTGTAGTCTGCTTTCGCAAGGCCTTTCTCATGCTGTGTCTTGAAAATTACTTCTTTTTAAAGACAAGCCCCCACATAGCCCAGTCTGGTGCCACATTTTCCTATTTTAAAATTTATTTCCTGAGCTGTGCATGGTGGTACACACCTTTAATCCCAGCACTAGGGAGGCAGAGCCAGGAAGATCTCTGTGCATTTGAGGTCAGCCTGGTCTACATTATCAAATTCCAGGACAGCCAGGGCTACACAGGGAGACCCTGTCTCAAAGAGAATTCTTTCTTAATTCAATCCTGTTACGCGTGTCTGACGTTTGCACCCACGCACACATGGTTTGACTCGGAAATATATGTAGAGTTTGAGTTTCTCTACATGTGCATTTTGATTTGAGGAAATGTGGTAGCATGTGACTTTATGTTGTTTTCAGTGTAATTTTTCTTGCTCAACACTGATTTCCAAATCTCCCTCGCTTGCTCTATGTTTTTGCAGTTCACGGCGGCGACTCTGTGTTATAAAGATGTTCATGAGAGCATCTGTCTCAATTGCTTATTGCCCAGGAGATGGACACTCTGATTATTTCCTGCTCCATTTTAGTAAGCGATGCCACAGAGAACAACCACATCTATATTCCTATATCCTCCTCCTTGGAATATCCAGAAGTGAAATTATTGTGTCATAGAACTACAAACATGTGTCACTTAGTGACAGGGATGTGTTCTGAGAAGTGCACGTTTGAGCCGATTCATCTTAAGAACACCGAAGTGTGTATTTATGTAGATTAGGATGGCTTCTGTGTGCATGATCATGAGTTTTTATACTTTTACTTTTCAATTTTGTGTATATTTGGGGACGGTGTGCACTTGTGTGTGTGAAGGCCCAGAAAGGCCCACAGAGTCCAGAAAAGGCATTGTAGGTGTTATGATAAAGCATGAGGGAAAGCTTGGTGGATTCCATGGCAGGCGAGGGTGGCCGGGGCTGGGGACAAACATGCCAGACAGACAGAGCTTAGTGAGAAGTTTTATTAGAGAGGGGAGGGGGAAGGAAAGAGAGAAGAGGTGAAGAGACACAGAGACATAGAGAGAGGACAGAAGAGAAGAGGGAGACAGGAAAAGCCCTGTCTGTCCCAGGGGAACAGCAGGAAAGAGAGTGGCAAAGAAAGTGGGCGGGGTCTTTCTCTTAAAGGGCTCCTTTGCACCTGCGTGCAGACTACTCAGTCACGGAACCCTGGGCTGACCAGGGCACTGCCTGAGTGCATTCTGCCAGGTGACAGGGGCAGGCCAGGGTAATGCCTGAATCATTGCAGTAGACATCAGGACCATAACTCCTCAGCAGGGGTGATACATGCTCTTAACCTCAGAGCCATCTCCCCAGCTGCAAGGTGACATGCTTGTACTGTTCCTCGGTCCTACACACGGCCCATGACTGGCGGGATGGGCATTGCCTGCTGTACACCTGTACTTCACTTTCCAAGTGTGTCAGAGTCCTTCGCACACAGACTAGTGCCAGTTTAGGCTTCCAGCTGCCGCCTCTCATCTCCCCCCAGCGCTTCCCACTGCCCTTTCAATATTTGCCCAACTAATTGATCTGAAGTGGTACCTCCCCGCTGGTTCAAGTCGCGTCTCCCTGACTCCCGCTGCCGCAGAGACTCTCTTCATGTACTTGTGAACTATCCAGACTTGCCCTCCTGCGAATAACTATTCATACCCTTTGCCCGCGTTTCAATGGGGTTACTTCTCTCCCCCGCCTTGCTAGTCCGCAGGAGCCCTTTGTGTATGCAGCATAGGAGAGAGGCATCTTCCCCAGTCTCTTAGCCTCCCGGTACTTGCATCTCGGTGTCCTTTGTTGAATGCAATGATAAATCATTTCCAATCCACTTGCTCCTCAGACTCACATGAAGGAGCCGGGAGGGAGACTGTCAGCTCATTTAAAGAGGAGGAATCTGAGGGTCCAGAGAGGGTAATTGCTCACTTGTGCCAAAGGCTTAGACTGCAGGGCTTGGGGTTAGAGCCACACTCCCCGGACATTAGTGATGTGACAAGTGGTATTTACATGTCAGTGTCGTTTTCCATCTTGGTGCGTTTATTTTTTTATTCCCCTCCCCTAACCGCGGTGTGTGTGTGTGTGTGTGTGTGTGTGTGTGCATGCGTGCGTGCGTGTGTGTGTGTGTGTGTGCATGCGTGCGTGCGTGTGTGTGTGTGTGTGTGTGTGTGTGTGTGTGTGTCCGTGCAAACAGGAGTCAGTTCTCTCCTTCTCTCATGTGGATTCTAAGGATCAAACTCAGGTCATGAGGCTTAGCAACAAACACTTTTATATGCTGAGCCCTCTTGCCAGCCTGATTTTTCTCTGCTGTGTGTCAGCCATACTAATATTCTATTCTTAGCTACCTGTCAGTGTCTGGGCAGTGGCCAGCCTTGTGCTTACCCAGAACTTCATGCCATCGTCTCCCCTCTTTTCTTCCCCGCACCCCACAGAAGCAAACTGCACCTACTTCAAATTCTTCACCACGGGGGAGAACGCTCGCATCTTCCAGAGAACCACCAAGAAAGGTGAGGGCATCTCGTATTGTGACAAGGAGGCCTGGGGTGGGGTGACAGCTCCGAAGGAGTGAATGATGATGGCACTGTGCTCAGGATGGGCGCGGCTTCAGTGGCTGTCCCACGTTTGGAGGGTGATGGTGGGTTAAGAGTGGGGGGCAATGGCCAGGAAGGGGTGACACACGCTTTTAATCCCAGTACTCAGAAAGAAGGCAGAGGCGGATGCATCTCTGAGTTCCAGGCCAGCCTGGTCTACAGAGCAAGTTCCATGACAGCCACAGAGTAATCTTGGCCCCCCCAAAAAGAGTTGGGACACTGATAACTAGACCTTGTGTCCAGCACTCTGGCCGCCAACTCTGCCTGTACTGTGTGGGTAAATCATGCTTCCTGTCGGTATGGAACGTCACAAGCATTTTAAGGACACTTTAAATTCTAAGCTCAGCACATGAGGTTGGTTAGCACAAACTCTAGTGCTTGGTGTCACCCTACAAGGTTGGGACTGTAGCTTCATGGTCCAGGTGAGGACACAAATCAGGAATGGTTGAGAGTATCACTTAGTCTCCATCCTAATCCCAAGACACATGGCACTGCTGATTACTAGGAAGGTGGCTGCTGTGATGGCAAAAACGGACTTTTAATTGAATGTGTCCGGTAGCTACTGCTGTATTGAACAACGCAACTCCGAGGGCTTTGTGCTTTCTGCCCCAAGTCCAGCTTCCTGAACATCACTCCAGTGGCCTGGTGTCTCCACTGGGATCATTTCATGTCTCTCACTTTTTTTGTCAAAATGAGGATTTAATGCAGCTAAACCTGTGAGTCCTGGTGCACACTATGGCCGCATACCGTCTCCGCGTGAGCTGGGTCAAGTCACCGTGCACCTCTGAGTTGGTAAAATAACCGGTGCACTCTTCTGGGTGCTAAGCACCACACTGGGCACTTGATGTGACTTCTAATCCCGATTTTTCCAGAGCCAAAGACTGAGAGGAGTGTAGGACTTTACCAGAATTTTCTGGCTGGGGAGCAGTTGGGGAAATTACAACCTGAATGGTTGCAAGATAGTGAATCACCTTTGTCACTGTCCCCTATACCCCTCTACCTCCACTTCATCATCTGTTAATGCAGTGATGACCAAAGGATAAATTGCAGATGATCATTCTAGTATCCCCTACCTGGCCTTGTCCCCTTCTTCGCTCTATAACCTGAGCCAGCCAAGTCTCCATTCTTTTGGTTTTTCGAGACAAGTTTTCTCCGTGTAGCTTTGGAGCCTGTCCTGGAACTCGATGGCCTCGGACTCACAGAGATCCACCTTCCTCTGCCTCTTAAGTGCTGGGATTAAAGGCGTGCGCCACCACTGCCCGACCCCGAGTCTCCATTCTGAAAGTTACAGTATCAGTAACACGCTCTCAGGATGACTGAAGTCTTCCATCCCTCTGGTTCTGCTTCCTGTGGAGGAATGCTGTCCATTCCCCCGTTCCCATGCTCTCTGCCTCTTCCCTGGCCCCTCCTTGCAGAGGTCAACCTGGCAGCTGCTGTGATAGCCGTGCTGAGCCTGACAGCCGTGGCCTTGGGCTGCCTCTGTGTCATCATGGTGCTCAGTAAAGGTGCAGAGTTCCTGCTCCGCTTGGGAGCTGTCTGCTTTGGCCTCTCAGGTGAGGGCTGAGTGTGTGGAGGCCAAGGGCATTGCATGCTGGGAAGTGAGGTCTCTCCACATTGCAGCATGCTGGGAGGTGGATCTCAACACACTGTTGCATGCTGGGAGGTGGATCTCTACACACTGTTGCATGCTGGGAGGTGGATCTCTACACACTGTTGCATGCTGGGAGGTGGATCTCTACACACTGTTGCATGCTGGGAGGTGGATCTCTACACACTGTTGCATGCTGGGAGGTGGATCTCTACACACTGTTGCATGCTGGGAGGTGGATCTCTACACACTGTTGCATGCTGGGAGGTTGACGCTCTACCAGCTGTTGCAGGCTGGAAGTTAGCATCTCCACTCACACATTTGAGTGCCGAGCAGTGGGAACTCCACACAGTGTTGCATGCTGGGAAGTAGACTCTCCAAGCACAGATGCATGCTGGGAGTGAGGAGAAACCCAGGAGCTCTGGTGGGCTCAAAGATGGAAACATTCCAAGGACTCTTGCTGGCAAGGTTTATTTAGATTCAAATGCTCTTACACATTTGGAGCTGCAAGTTCTAAGAGTCTCTGTACAATGAAAATGGAATCTCCTCCGCTTACTCCTCCATGCTGGGGTAGAGGAGGGGTCGGTCTGTCCAAGGGCTCGAGTAGACTCAAAGATGGAAGAATTCCAAATCTTGTTGTCGGCAATGGAGTGGAATGTCTCCAAATACTATTTTAGGTTTGGACATGGGGTCTCCAACGCTTGTTTGATGTTAAGGGGGAGGGGTTGATCTCCAGGCGCTGTTGCACGCCAGGCGTTGGAGTGAATTTATGCAAAATCTTAAAAGCTAGGAGCATCCTAAACCCAGTTGTTGCATGGCAATTGAATTCTCTTCAAGCACTCTTTTAGATTTGGCCTGGAATCTTCAACACTGTGTTGTGTACTTGGAAGCCGAGGCATGTTCTCTGAGTAATATTGCATGCTGGGAGGTCAAAGAAGCTCAAAGGTTGAATAGGTCTGAAGATGAGAGCATCTCAAATCATTCAGAAGGTTTCCAAACAGTCTTTGAGTTTGGGACTTGGAATCTGCAGGGACTGTGCTGTGCTTCTAGGATCTGCCTGTCTGTCTCTCGGTCTGTCTATCTATCATGTATTTATGTGTATGAGTGCTCTGTCTTCATGCATATCAGAAGAGGCAATCTGATCCCATTACAGTTGGTTGTGAACCACCATGTGGGTGCTGGGAATTGAACTCAGGACCTTTGGAAGAGCAGCCAGCACTCTTAACCACCAAGCCATCTCTCCAGTCTCATGCGTTGTATTCTTATAGGTGGATATTCAGGAAAAAAAAGATGCTACATCTTGTGAAATGTATACCCCAGTAATAACAAAAGGCTTCAGGTTAGCCCACCTCTGCCTCAGAGCTTTACATGGAGTGGACTAGCTAAAGGTTGCTAATATTATTTACTTATTTTTATTTTATATGTGTGAATGCTTGTCTTCATGCATGTTCACCAAATGTGTGCTGGTGCCTGAGGAGTCCAGAGAAGGGCATTGGATCCCTTGGAGTTAAGTACGGATGGTTGTGAGCTGCCATGTGGGTGCTGGGAACCCTACCTGGGTCCTCTGTATGAGCAACAAGTGCTCTTAACCACCAAGCCACCTCTCCAGCCCCAAAGGTTACTATTCTTCACTTTGTCAATAAGAACACTGAAGTTCGGAAAAGTCAAGTGGCTTCCCATAGCCACATAACCACTAATGGCAGAGGTGGGACATTTAAAAAAGAAATCTGCTCACAGTTTTCACGCATCCACACACAGACACGTATGTGACACGTATGTATGACGTGTGACACTTTGCTCACATCCAAACCCCATGCATTCTTCCTTGTCCCTCTCCTGCCAACCCCCTCGTTTCCAAGTCCCCCCTCAACTTTCATGGCTTTTTTGGGATCTCCACTGCGTTTAATTAGGATTGCCTGCATGGGTAGAAGGTTATTTACTTGACCAAAGTCAACTTACTAGTGACTGTAACACCACTAAGGAATATATCTACCCTTGCCCAGAAACCATTATAGTTACCTGTATCTTCCGCTTCCATAATGGATTGTTGATGTTCTAATCTTGTGCAGGTCTTGTGCAGGCTTGATATTAAGCCTTCTTGGCCTCTTTTTCACTGAACTGCATCATTGAATTTTGGGACTTGTGAGTCTTTGTAGGCTTAGAGCTGGTATGTAGAATGAATGCTTAGCTGGAGACCACGTTTTGTTTTGTTTTTTAATGCCTTACCAAGGGTGCTAGCTGTGTTTGGAACCATGGAGTGTCATTGGTAAATTCCTTCTATTGTCCAGAGCTTCTTTGTTGAGCCAGATGCAATGATTAGAAAAATTATTAATCACACAAATTCATTTCTTTATTCTTTGTGTGCTTGTGAGCACTTGCTATTTTCTGGGAGATGCTACAGGCACAAGACTAAATCAATAAGACACCATGTCTGCTATCAAGTGCACTTCATCCCGGCTGATAATGACTAATAATTACACATATAACAGTTCAACTACGATTGTGATGGGAATGGATGTGAAGGCTACACTGCCGTGGGATTGCATGTCAAAGAAACTCCCCAAGAGAGTGACCTTTAAACTGATGGTCAAAGGATAATAGGAGCTATCCAAAGTGTGGTTTTGACAGTTGAAGTGGCAATAGGTGATGTCAGAGATGCTGATGGTATCAATGCTGATAGTGATGGTGGTGAGAGTGATGATGTGGGTAATGATGGGGGTGGTGATGGTGATCGTGATGGGATTGACGGTGATGATGGTGGGAGGTGGTGATGATGGTGGTAGGTGATGGTGATGATGGTGATTATGGTGGGATTGATGGTGATGATGGTGGTGATGATGGCGATTGTGATGAGATTGATGGTGATGATGGTGGTGGTAGGTGGTGGTGATGGTGATTATGGTGGGATTGATGGTGATGGTGGTGGTAGGTGGTGATGATGGTGGTGATGGTGACAGGTGGTGATGATGGTGGTAGGTGGTGGTGATTGGGACTATGATGGGATTGGTGGTGATGAAGATGATGGTGGTGACAGGTGGTCATGATGGTGACAGAGATGGCAGTAATGGCAGCAGAAGTGAAGATGGTGGAGTGAGGGTGGGGATAGAGACCATGGAGACAATAGGCTGTGATGATAGGGGCGGTGACTCCAGAGATGATGATGGTAGATGTTAACGTTTATGTGGTGACGTCATTGCGTTATTAGTGATGATGGCGATGACGAAGGTAGTAGTGATGTATGTTATCCTAGTTAGACTTATTTGCTTATTGGTTTTTCAAGACAAGGTTTCTCCGTGTAGCCTTGGCTGTCCTGGAACTCACTCTGTAGACCAGGCTGGCCTCGATCCTGTAGAGATCCACCTGCCTCTGCCTCCTGAGTGCTGGGATTAAAGGTGTGCCCCACCACCTTCTGGTTTCTACAGCTGTGATGAAACACTATCATCAAAAGCAACTTGGTGAGGAAAAGGCTTATTTCATCTTATGCTTCCAAGTAGCAGTCCATCTCCAAGGAAAGTCAGAGCAGGAACTTGGAGACAGGAACTCAAGCAGAGGCCATGAAAGAGAGCTTCTCTCTGGCTTACTACTTTTGGCTCACTCAGCCTGCTTTTTTATATTACCCAGGGACACTGATTTGCATAGCAGCTACATTTTAAACTCTCCTCAACAGTGAACATGGGTTCCCCTTTCCCCAAATCATTGCCAGCATTTTTAAAAAAATTATCCATGACTTGCCTGGAATTTATTATGTAGCCCAGGCTGGCTTGAATTTGTGGTAATCCTGAGTACTGGGAATAGGCATGCACAATTATTCCTGACTCTCCCTACTTTAAAAAAATTGGAGGTGCTAAAGAGATAGCTCAGTGGTTAAGAGCAATTAGTGTTCTTCCACAGTACCCAAGTGTGGTTTCCAGCACTTATGTTAGGCAGATCATAGGGGCCCCTAACTCCAATTTGAGATCTTTTTCCCTCTTCTGGCCTCTATGGGTACTGCACGCACATAGTATGTACACACACACACACACACACACACACACACACACCTGCATAAATACACCCTTTAGTTTTTTTCTCCCTACCACACATCACTCTCTGAAATCCTCCTTCCTCCTCCTATATTTGTTTCAGAAGGTGCAATATGGCAACCATTAGTACGTGGTATCTAATTTGCATTCTTTGCTTGGCAGGAGTGTCTAATTATTTCTCCAATTTCAAAAGATTGGAGAAAAACCCACAACCAACTAGTTAGGTAATTGTGGCATATACCTATAACCCTAACACTCAGGAGGCTAAGGCAAGAGAATTGTGAATTAGACAACAGCTGATTTACGTAGCAAGACTTCATCTTAAGCCAAGAAACAAACAATTCATTTAAAAACAATAGTGATTGCATCTGGAGTGATGTCTCAGCGGTTAAGAGCACTGGCAGCTTTTCCAGAGGACTCAGGTTCAATTCAGTAACACCAGGGGATCCGATGCCTCAGTGGGCATTGTGGGCACATAGTGTGTAGATGAAAATGCAGACGAAATACCCGTGCACACACAGATGTTTGTGAGGTGTGGTGGCAGATGCCTTTAATCCCAGCACTTGGGAGGCAGAGGCAGGAGGATTTCTGTGAGTTCCAAGCCAATCTGATCTACATAGCAAGCTCCAGGACAACCAGAACTACATAGAGAGATCCTGTCTCAATCTCTACCCCCAACCCAAATAAAAGTGATTAAGCCAGGCATAGTGGAAAATGTCTGTGTTCCTACTATTTAAACAGATGGAAGAGGATTTCTGCGACTTCAAAGCCAGCCTGGTATGCATAATGACTTCCGGGGGCAGCTAGGGCTATAGGAGACCTTGTCTCAAAATGAAGAAATGGGAGGCTAGGGAAATGGCTCAGTCAATAAAGCGTTTGTTGTTGCAAGCACAGCAACCCGAGTTTAATCTCCAGAACCCATTAAAAGCAAGGCAGCTCTTATACTCTATACTTCATAAGTCTATAATCCCAGCAGAGTGGCAGAGACAGGAGGGCTTGCTGGCCAGTGAGTCTAGCCAAATTAGTGAGAGGCCCTGTCTTAAAAAAAAAAAAGGTGTAGGGCCTGCAAGATGCCCAGCAGGCTTAGGTACATGACCGCAAGCCTGATAGCCAACTTCACTCCCCAAGTCCTACATGGCGGAGGGAGAATATTGATCCCTGACCTCCACACACATGCCTTGGTGTGCACACACACTCACCAAAGTGCAATTTAAAGACATTTTTTAAAAATAAAGTGGGAGCTGGGGGTGTAGCTTTGGAGCAGAACACTTACCTAGATAGCACAAGGTCCAGGGTTCAATCCCCAGTGCTTCGAAAATAAAGTGGAACGTAATTGAAAAAGGCACCTTGCATTGACCTCTGGCCTTCACTCATACACACGTGGACAGGCATGCATACACATGCACACAAACACGCGTGCACACACACACACACACACACACAAGCACACACACACTGAGGGGTGGGCAAGAACATGCCTGCATGGTAAGCACAGATGTGACGGGAGATGTCATTCTGTGTATGTTTCTCTTATTGGTTGATGAATAAAAAACACTGTGTGGCCAGTGGCCAGGCAGGGAGGATAGGTGGGGTTACCAGAAGAGGAGAATTCTGGGAAGTGTAGGCAGAGAGGAGTCGTCATCATGTGTGCCCGAGAAGAGAGGACGTGAGTCAGGCATTCTCCAGCAAGCCAAGACCATGTAGAAATACATAGATTAGTAGTTACGGGTTAATGATTAAGACAGAAGCTGGCCCATAAGAAGCTCAAGCCATTGGCCTACAGCATTATAATTAACATAAGTCTCTGAGTGTTCATTTGGGGATCAAGGGCCCCAGGGACCTGCCGGGCAGGCATCTCACGTTACACAGATGTAATATTTCCTGTGCCCCATTGATGGGATGAAGGTGACTGTTGAATGACTTGGGGGAAAAGCATAAGAAAATCCTTGGATGATAAAAGGGGATTGATAAAGGAATGAAGGGGTGACAGTCTCAAACCCAAGCTGGAGTTCCAGGATCAAGAGTCTCACTCTCTACTTTTGTCTGTCTGTCTGTCTGTCTGTCTGTCTGTCTGTCTATGTGCATTGGTGTTTTGCCTGTACCTGTATGCATGTCTCTGTGAGGGTGATCTTGGAGTTACAGGTGGTTATGAACTACCACGTGGGTGCTGGGAATTGAACCCAGGTCCTCTGGGAAAACCAGCCGGTGCTCCTAACCACTGAGCCGTCTCTCCAAGCCTGAGTCTCACTCTGTTGTTCCCCCGACAGGCCTGCTGCTCTTCGTCAGCCTGGAGGTGTTCCGGCATTCCGTTAGAGCCCTGCTTCAGGGAGCCAGCCCCGAGACTCCCCCAGCTCCACGCCTGACCTATGAGTATTCCTGGTCCCTGGGCTGTGGCGTGGGTGCTGGCCTGATCCTGCTGCTGGGGGGAATCTGTTTCCTGCTGCTCAGCCTGCCTTCCTGGCCCTGCGGGTCACTGTGTCCCAAGCGGGGTGACCCAACCACCTAGAGCCCTGGTCTGCTTTCTGTAGACATCTGCCAAGCCTGCCTCGGTTTCCAGCTTTCTCCTCAAGGCTTTCCATGTCTCTCCCAGAGAAACTGTCCTTCCCACTCCGAGGGCCCATTTAACGGAACATCTTGGTTCCTTGCCTTCTCTCTGTTTATTTATAACACTTTTGGTGGGGGGTGTGGGAGACGGCTCAGTAGGTAAAAGTGCTTGCTGAGCAGGCATGAGGACTTGAGTTTGGGCCCCCAGAACACACTTTAAGGGGCCAGATCAGTGGTATGTGTCTGTAATCTCAGCATTGGGAAGGCAGAGACTGGGGGGAAGAAGCCTGGGGCTCACTGGCCAGCTAGCCTAGCCAAATGAGGTCCAGGTTCAGCGAGAGATCCTGTCTCAAAAAATAAGGCGGAAGCTATGGAGGGAGATGCCTGATGCTGAACTCTGACTCCCCATGCACACACACACACACACACACACACACACACACACACGCATGCATGCACGCATGCACACACACACACACACACACACACACGCATGCCCGCACGCACACACAGACATGTTGTTCTTGGAAACTGAATTTGGACTGTTTAAGGCAGGGTAGAAAGAGGCTGTGTGCAAATTTGGGCTCCCAGGGGAGCCTCCCAGGGACCTGATGAGGGCAAGGGTTCCCGCAGGATTTGGGGACCGTCCTTGTCCAGGTATCAGTGCTGATTCACTTGAAGGAGAGACGTCCTACGGTGGCCTGGTGGGGCAGGGAAGAGCCGGGTCTGACTTCACTGTGATCTGATCTGGGATTAAAGGTTTGAAGATGTGTCTGTGTGGAGCTCATGCGTTCTAGGGTGGGGCAAGGAACCCCTGTTCTCTCCATACACTGGAGACATGGTTCGGTCTGTCCTGGAGTTACTGGTTCACATGTCCACACATGCAGATTAGGGGGACTTGGAGAAGGTAACAGTTCAAATGCAGACATGGGCACAGTTTGAACCTTGGCCCTCCCAAAAGCACACGTGCAGGGGACTGTCATTGCAACTTTACTTGGTTATAGTTTCCTGGGTGTGTACATGTACGGGCATGCACATATTCACTGTACAAAATGTTGGGTTTCATATGACTTTTTTTTCTGAGACAGGGTTTCTCTGTGTGGCTTTGGAGGCTGTCCTGGAACTCACTCTGTAGACGAGGTTGGTCTCGAACTCACAGAGATCCGCCTGCCTCTGCCTCCCGAGTGCTGGGATTAAAGGCGTGAGCCACCACCACCCGGTTCTCATGTGACTTTTTAAAGGTTTATTCGTTTTTGTTTTATGTGTGAGGGTCTTACCTGTGTGTCAGTGCACAATCAGAGGTCAGAAGGAGGGTACAGGCACTCCTGGAAGTTGGGTTACAGATGGCCGTCAACCACCGTGGGAGTCGGAATCAAACCTGGGTCCTCTGCAAGAGCCGCTAGTTCTCTCAAGTGCTGAGACTTCTCTCCAGCGCCTCATATGACGTTCTCTGCAAATATGCTTGACCACCCCATCATCCTCCCCCACCCCACCTCCTATCCGTTCCCAAGCAGTGCCCCTTCTATTTTATGTTTAAAATTTGACGCATAGCCTCACGACGTAGGCCAGGCTGGCCTCAAACTCTGTGTTCTTGCCTTGGCCTCCCGAGTCCTAGGGTTTCGGGCATGCGCTGCCGTGCACAACTCTGGAGGTGTGTTTGCTGTTTGTTTGTCCTGAGACGGGATCTTGCTTTGAGCTTCTGGCTTGTGTAAAACTCTCTAGGTACGCTGGGCGTTGGTGGTGCACGCCTTTAATCCCAGCACTCGGGAGGCAGAGGCAGGCAGATCTCTGTGAGTTCGAGGCCAGCTTGGTCTACAGAGTGAGTTCCAGGACAGCCTCCAAAGCTACAGGGAAATCCTGTCTCGAAAAACCAAAAAACTCTCTAGGTAGCCAAGGCTGGCTGCAAACTCGCAGTGATCCTCCTGCCTCAGTGCTGTGGTCATAGGTGTGTTCCAGGAGAGCAGGTCTTTACAGACGCAATCACAGCAAAGCAAGGTCACCAGCACTGGCTCTAATTCAACCCAGCTGGTGAGAAGGAGAGACCGGGGACACAGAGACGGACACTCACAGAGGGAGGGACACGGGAAGAAGAGAGCCATCTGCACACTGAAGAGGAAACCCCTTGGTGGATCCCTGCCTCAAGCCTCAGAAGGATGCTCAACCTGTGTTTTATACTTAAAGCATCCAGAACCATAAGGCGACAGGTTTGTTGTCCAAGCACCTGGCAGTGATTTGTGACAACATCCCCAGCAGGTGAATCCAGACTCTGGCACCCAAGAATGTGGGTGCTTCTAGGACAGAAACTGAAAAACAGAGAGCCTAGCGGTGGTGGCGCACGCCTTTAATCCCAGCACTGTGTTTGAGGCCAGCCTGGTCTACAGCGTGAGTTCCAGGACAGCCAGGGCTATTACACCGAGAAACCTTGTCTCAAAAAACCAAAACAAGCCAAAACAAAAAAATCTGAAAAAACGTGGAGAGGATAGGCCAGCAAGACTGCTCAGAGGGGGAAGGCACTTGCTGCTCAGGCGGAGGACCTGAGTTCGAGCCCCAGGACCCACGCGGAGGAAGGAGAGGACCTTTGTGGGATCTGGAGCCTCTCAGTAAGAAGACCGCCTTCCTCTCTTATGAGGAGCGCTCTTTCCCTGCTCACACACCACTGTGTGCCGGGCACTGGTCCAAGTGTTTTATAATGCGGTGCAAGCCTGCTAAACTTACGTTAGTGACGGCTCAATAGAAACGCAACCCATCCCTGGGCCGTGGTGGCGCACGCCTTCAATCCCAGCACTCAGGAGGCAGAGGCGATCTCTGTGAGTTCGAGGCCAGCCTGGTTTACTGAGTGAGTTCCAGGACAGCCTCCAAAGCTACAGAGAAACCTTTCTGTCTGGAAAAACCAAAACAACAACAACAACAAAAAAGAACTTAAGTGTAGGGGGTGAGCCCAAAAGGGCGGGGACAGGGGGATGGGCACAGGTGGGGTATTTAAGGAAAGGCAAGGTAAACGTGCTCTCTCTTGTTAGGAAGCCTGCCACGCTCCTGATCATCCAGCTTGTGTGTAAGTTCTTTCTCTGGTAAATAAACATATTAATTTCCATACTGCATTGACCTCCCTCATCTGCTGGTAGCGCGAGTGGGGCTTTTCTCAAAGTTAGACAGTTACTATGCGGAGAAGGTAGAATTCCAACTCAGGCCTTTCACGCCACACACGTATTTGCTATGAAGCATGGAATTATAAGAGAAGCCAGAATGATAGCTCCAAACTCAGGCATGCCGATCGTGGTGGCACACATCTGCCCAGGAGGCAGAGGCAGAGGCAGGCGGATCTCTGTGAGTTCGAGGCCAGCCCGGTCTACAGAGCGAGTTCCAGGACAGCCTCCAAAACAATACAGAGAAACCCTGTCTCGAAAACAACAACAACAACAGTCTAATGGAGGCATTTAGTAAAAACAAAAAACAAAAAACAACAACAACAACAACAACAAAAAACCACGCCTGAGGATGCTGCCAGCCATGGGCAGAGGACAGACACGGAGAGGGTTGAGCTGGAGATGGGCAGCTGGCAGAGGAGGGTGGGGTGGCAAAGGTTGGTGTCTGTGACATTACGACACAGGCAGTGAACCTTCACTCACTGTGTGGAGTCAGGGTGGGCATTTCCCCAAAAGCTAAAAGTAGAACCGCCTCGTCCTGTGCCCGCCCAGCTGTGCCACCTCGGGCATGTAACCAGAGGACCCTGGGTCCCGCCACGTCCTGGTTCACTGCTGTGCTGTCCGCGGGACTCGGAGACGGAGTTCATCCGACAGCCGTCGCAGACGGACAGCGGAAATGTGGTTCAGGGGCTGGAGAAAGGGTATGAACTTGCTTCACAAGTTCGGGGGTCAGAAATGCCAGGTGGGGTTGGCTGGCCAGAGTAATGTGTGGAAAATGTGTGTTCTGAGGAAACGTGTTACGTTGTGTGCTTATGTAAAAAGGGGGGGGTAAAGAGATGGCTCAGCTGTACAGATGGCTTACTGGTTAAGAGCACTGGCTAGTCTTGCAGAGGTCCTGGGTTCGAATCCCAGCCCCCCACTAGGTGACTCGTAACTATCCCCACTAGAGGATTCAATCTCTCTGATTACAGGTACCAGGCACCCATATGCTGTGCATACATATATGCAGGCAAAACACTCATATGCATAAATTAGTAAAAGATGTTTTTAAACATGTATGTGCAGAACAACAAAGTTCAGTTCCCAGAACACACTCTGAACAGCTCATACTCACCTATAACTCCAGCTCCAGGGACTCTGGTGTTTCAACACACACGCGCGTGCACACACACACACAGACACACACACACACAGATATGCATGTACAAATAAAAAATAGAAATTAAATTTTTGTTGTTTTTTTGAGACAGGGTTTCTCTGTGTAGCTTCAGAGCCTGTCCTGGAACTTCCTCTGTGGTCCAGGCTGGCCTCAAACTCACAGAGATCTGCCTGCCTCTGCCTCCCAAGTGCTGGTATTAAAGGAGTGCCCACCATCGCCTGGCCTGAAATAAAACTCTTATTAAAAGGAGCCCAGATGTAGGGATGCACACTTTAATCCCAGCACTTGGAAGGCAGAGGCAGGAGGATCTCTGTGCATTTGAGGCCGGCCAGGTCTACGAAGTTCTAGACCAGCCAAGGCTACACAGTGAGACCCTATCTCAAAACAAAAAGAAAAACCAACCAGCCAAACAAACAAAGGCCTTACAAAAGAAAGGAAATTCAGCGTCTGTTTTAAAGAGTGGCCCCTCCTCAGAGCCGGGGGAGCTTGCCTTGGGTGCGGCTTCATTTCATCATCTTGAGGACAGTCCATGGGCTTAGCACAGCATCGGCTTCCCGGGCCATTTCAAGGAGTAAATGCGGCAGTAATCCCTGCAAAGCTGCTCGGAGGCCTCCTGGCCCCAGATCATAGCTGCATCTGTCTTTGCAGTTATTACTGCTTATCAAGCGGCACTCCGGGCCTGGCGTGGGGTGGAGAGTGAAGACCGACCCCTGAGGAGCTGACAGTCGGCCCACGGACACAGATATTAATCCCATCATCGCGCTAATGGCCGCGTAATTATAAGCCGAGATAAGTGCTGAGAAAGATCACCAACCACTTCTCCTTGGCTCTGACTTCGAGCCCCGCCAGCTCGGGCGATCCCAGAGAGCCGTGGAACGGCGGGGCTTAGCAGGCCGGAAGGGCCTCTGATTTGGAGACGTGGTTCCGTCCGGTGGGATCTCCACCTGGAGCGAATACCTGGGCTGGAGGATGACGTTAGATTTCCTACCATCCTCTACCGTGTTCCCTGTAAGACGAGGTCTCCCACCAAACAAAGCTTACCGTTTTGGCTAGACTGGCTGGCCGGCCAGCAAGCACCCCAAATTTGCCTGCCTCTCTCTGCTCCCCCAACGCTGGGGTTACAGGTATCCTGAGGAGACTTTAGCCCACTCGAGAATGTGAATCCAGAAGGCCTTGGCCTTCTCCCCTGTTCCCTCCTTGCTAAAAACCGTTAGATTGCATTCCTGAAGCTAGCCCCCAAGATCCAATCCCTCCTTTACCCACTTACTCCTCCCGAGGCTGAGCTCGCAAGGCCCAGCTATCAAAACGTTGAAAACTGGCAACCAAACGCCCCTCTGGCCCACCTAATTGACGCACCCAATTAAAATAAAACACCCCTCATCCTAGCACAGGGGTTCCCCTTGTACCTTTATAAACAGCCATTTTCCTAGGTGCCAGTCTGTCTCCTCTCTCCAGAGACAGTCCTTTGTCCCCCTCTGGGACAAATACCCTGCCCCGTTTCCCTTGTTCCCTTCCCCTTCTTCATCCTCCACCTGCTGTCTTTGTCCCTTATCCCCGCCTTCTGTCCCTCTGGGGCAAATAAATCCCCTTTGTGCTGAGCCCTTTGGTCTTGGTGGTCCCGAGGTGATATTTTCCCACTTACACGCACAGCCGTCTCGAGCTTACAAGCAGATGCCGAGAGTCTACTTAATACCCTCATGCTGCACAGTCATGTTCTTACCCACTGGGCCCTCTCCAGGCCCAGTGGGGTCCAGGCAAGGAAGGGGCTGCACTGAGACAGGGCAAACAGAGGAGCCTGCTATCTTCTTCCAACCACGGCTCCCCTGACATAGTCAGCTTTTGTCACTGCGAGAAGATAGCCGGTAACAGATGGTCGATTTAAAGCAAGCGTGGTGGGTGGACGCCCGTCACCTCAGAACGTGGGAGGCAGAGGCAAGAGGACCTTCCAGGGCTGCGCAGCAAGACCTTGTCTCAGGAAACACGCAGCTTAGCCTGCTCGTTAGAATACACCGGGAGGAGGGTGTGTGTGTGACTCAGCAAGAGAGGGCTTGCCTTGGATTCACCCGTGAGGGCCAAGAAGCATGGCTCAGTGGTACAGTGCTCACCTAGCTCGTGTAAGACCTGGGGTTCCAGCCTCGGCACCACGGAAATAAATGATAGGAAGACGGTAGATATATGAATAGATGATAGATGACAGATTTATGATAGATGTAGATAAATAGATAGATAGATAGATAGATAGATAGATAGATAAATAGATAGATAGACAGACAGACAGACAGATAGATAGACAGATAGATAGATAAATAGACAGACAGATAGATGACGGGAGGAAGAAGAAGAATTGGAACCCTTACAAAGCTTAAAAGGAAAGATTTAGTTTGGTTCACCAGTTCAAGTTTCAGCCCATGGCTAGCTGGCCCTGTGACTTTGGGTTTGTTGCAGTGGCACAGGAGGCCTGCACACCCCTGGCAGCCAGGAAGCAAAGAGGAAGGTCCTGATAGCCCCCTAAAGGACATGGCCCCCTGGGATTTCACTTCCTTCCTCTAAGTTTTTGCCTCCTAAACGTTCCACCCTCTCCCAGTAGTACCACAGGTTGGCAACTCAGCCTTTGACACATGCCCTTTGGGAGCTACTCAAGACCCAAGGGACAGCGCCTGCTTCATAGTGCCAGGAACATAGTATACCTAGTGTTAACTTGTATTATCTTATAGGCCATAGTATACCTAGTGTTAACTTTTATTATCTTATAGGCGACTGCCATGAACAACAATGTATCGCTGCATTAACTTGCATGACCGTGGTTGGTTAAAAACTCCGTGTTTCAAATTGCTTCCTGAAGATGCTTTTGAAATGATAGAGGAGGGACCGGAGCCTTGGCTCTGTGGTTTAGGGCACCTGTTCTTCTTGCTGAGGACTCGGGTTTGGGTCCCAGCATGCACATCGCATCTCACAGCCATGAGTAACTCCAGTTCCTACCTATCTCTCACAGGAAGAGGGCTGGGATTAGTAGTGCATGCTGCCTGTCCACTTTCCCCATGGATTCCGGGGATTGAACTCAGGTCATCAACCTGTGTGAGTAGCACTTTAATCACCCAGCCATCTCCCCGGCTCCCACCTTGTTTTTGTTTGTTTGTTTGTTTTCAAGACAGAGCTTCTCTGTGTAGAACTTGCTTTGTAGACCAGGCTCACAGAGATCCACCTGCCTCTGCCTCTGTCTCGAGAGTGCTGGGATTAAAGGTGTGCGCCACCACCTACCAGCATTGGATCTCTTACCTCGACCTGGAATTTGCCAATTTGGCAAGGTGGGATGGCCTCTCCTCTCGACTTCTCGAAGTTGCACGGTTTCCTTTATGCGTGCAGGTGTAGGAGGAAGGGACTCGCAACGTCTGCCAATATCGGCTGCAGAAATGATTCATTGTTACTCATTTCATGGGCTGGAGAAAACAAGAGACGCTGAAATGTGAGGTGCGAGAAACCACAGGATGTGGGGACAGAGGAAGGCGTTGGTCTCTCTCATCGTTTTAAAAATTGTAATTATGAAATTTAGGGGCTAGAAGGCCCGCAGTGGTGGTACACGCCTTTAATCCCAGCACTCGGGAGGCAGAGGCAGGAAGATCTCTGTGAGTTGGAGGCCAGCCTGGTCTACAGAGCGAGTTCCAGGACAGCCTCCAAAGCTACACAGAGAAGAAACCCTGTCTCGAAAAACCAAAACCAAAACAAACAAAACTGGGTCCTGAAGAGAGAGCCGTTAAGAGCACTGGCTGCTCATCCAGAGGACCCCTATTCCGTTCCTAGGATTTACATAGTGGCTCACACCCAGCTGTAACTCCAGTTTCAGGGTGCCCAACGCCCTGTCCTAGATTCCATGGGCACTGCACACAGATGTACATGGTCCACAACCCCCCCCAAATATACACACATAAAATTACCACTACACTTATTTATTGTTTTCTGTGTGTATTCACACAAGTGCGCGCGCACACGTGTGTGTGCTATGAGGGTCGGTTCTCTCCTTCCGCCACGTGGGTCCTGGGTGAAATCGGTGGTCCCCAGGCTTGCCAGCACGTGCCTTTAGTCACTAAGCCACACCACCGGCCCCCTTTCCAGTGCTCTGAATGCACACGGAATTTCCATTTTCACTTAAAGATACAAGCATAGGCCTGCGGAGGATCGGAAGATAACATGCCTGCCAACAGGAGCTTGAGGAACCCGAGCTCAATGCCCAGCACCCACATTTGAAAGCACTGTATTCAGGATTCGAGGAGGTGGCTCAGTGGGCATAGCGCTCACTGTGTGAGCATCCACGCTGGAGTTTAGATCCTCAGCAGCAAGGGAACCTCAGATGGTCATGGTGTAGCCTATGATTCCAGGGCTGGCAAGGCAGAGACAGGTGGCTTCTGGCGCAAGCTGGCCATCGGACTAGCTCTGACCAGTAAGCTCTGGATTCAGGTGGAGAGAATAGAGGGAGCTCCCGATGTCTATATTAGGCCTACACACACACACACACACACACACACACACACACACACACACACACACACACAGAGTTTTTTTTTTTCTGTTTTTCAAGACCAGGTTCCTCTGTGTAGCTTTGTAGACTGGGCTGGCCTGGAACTCACAGAGATCCGCCTGTCTCTGCCTCCCGAGTGCTGGAATTGACGTGTGCACCACCACTGCCCCGCTTGCTGTATAATTTTCAATATTTATAAACACCCATAGCTTCTCCACACTCTTTGTTGTTGTTTTGTTTTAGACACAGCCTCTCATTTTCCAGGCTGGCTTCAAACGCCCAAAGCAGCTCTACCACTCCTCCTGCTGCCATCTCCCAAGTGACGGGGTTACACGCAAGTCTGTCCGCAGTGCTGGGGACTAGATGAAGGTCACTGTGCATGCTAGGCAAGCACTCCACTTACTGGACCACATCCCCAGCCACGCAGGCCACATTCTGTCCAGCTACTCATCTGTACACAGACATCTGGGGTGTGATGGGGATGCCCTTCTGTATATATGTTTCTCTTATTGGTTGATGAATACAACACTGTTTGGTCAATAGAGGCAGGAAGATAGGTGGAACTAGGAGACGAGGAGAATTCTGGAAAAGGCAGGCAGAGAGAGAACTCAGGTCTGGACCCTTCTCTGGTAAGATAATACCACAAGGAAATACTTAGACTAATAGAAATGGCTTGATAATCAAGACAGAGCTAGTCAGTAAGAAGCCCTAGCCATCAGCCAACATTTTCATAACTAATATAGTGTCACTGTGTTTATTTGGGGCAAAACGGCTGTGGGACCTTGCAGGTCAAGAAAATGGCTCCCAACGTAGAACTCGAACCCACGACCCTGAGATTAAGAGTCTCACGCTCTACCACTGAGCTAGCCAGGGTTGGCCAAAAAACTTGATACATAAATATCTGTTTGAGGACTGGCAAGATGGCTCAGTGGATTAAGGCAGTTGCTATCAAGCCTGATGACCCGAGTTCAAGTCTAAGAATCCACATAGTGTTAGGAGAGATCGGATTCCGACAAGTTGTCCTCTGACCTCCATCCTCGGAGACGCCATGCAAGAGCATGCCCACATGAATGCACACACCACTGCATGAATGCAATTAAACGTTAAAATATCTGTTTGAGTCCTGGGTCTTCACTCAGACTTTGAATTGCTGAATCATGTGGTGGGTCTATTTTGGGTTAGAATTCGAAGTATGAGCTTCCACTGAGTCAGTCAATGACTCACATGGAGGAAAGCCCAGTGGGGAAAAGCTTTTAAGAGCCTGACGTTGGCTACCATGGAGAGCAATTCACTGTACTCTCAAAAATTGAGAAGAGCAGACTCGAAGAGTTCTCCCCACAAGAAAATGACAAAGAGGCGAGGCTTTCCGCATTCATCAGCCTGATTTAGTCATTCCCCAAATGTCAAGTATCTCAGAATGTCATGTTATGCATCATAAATACACACAGTTTGTATTTGTCAATTATAAGTCAATTGAGGAAATCAGGGTATAGAGTGTACACCTGTAATCCCACCACTCGGGGGCAGGGGAAGGAGAATTGCATGGGGCCAGCCTGCTCTGCAGAGTGAATGCCAGGCCAGAGCCGCATAGCAAGAACTTGACTCACTGTCTGAAAATGGGATAGATAGATACATAGATAGATAGATAGATAGATAGATAGATAGATAGACAGACAGATAGACAGATATATAAGGGATGTCCTTCTGTATATGTGTTTCTCTTATTGGTTGATGAATAAAACACTGTTTGGTCAATAGCCAGTAGAGGCAGGAAGATAGGCAGGGCTAGGAAACCAGGAGAAGGCTGGGAGAGAGGCACCTCGAGGAGATGCCATGTAGAGACGGGGAAGATAGGATGCATCAGACATTCTCCGGTAAGCCAAGACCCCGTGGAAATACATAGATTTATAGAAATGGGTCAACAATTAAGACAGAGGTAGCCAATAAGAAGCCCTAGACACTGGCCAACAGATTTATAATTAATATAAGTCTTTGTGTGTTTATTTGGGGCTAAAGGGCGGCAGGACGTGGTGAGAAAGAAACTCCAGCAACAGATAGATACATAGATGGATGATAGATAGATAGATATGAATAGATAGGTATGTAGATAGATGATAGATATAGATAGATAGATACATAATACATAGATAGATGGTAGATAGGTGATAGATGATAAATAGATGATTGATAGGTAGATACATGGATAGTGATAGATATATAAATAGATACATAGATAGATGATAGAGATAGATGATAGATACAGATAGACGATAGATAGATAGGAAATAGATAGATAGATAGATAGATACATACATAATAGATAGATGATAGATGATAGATTATAGATGATTGATAGGTAGATACATGGATAGTGATAGATATAAATAGATAGATACATAGATAGATGATAGATACAGATAGATAGATAGAGAGAGAGATAGGAGATAGAGAGATAGGAGATAGATAGATAGATAGATAGATAGATAGATAGATAGATGATAAAAAAGTAAGGTGTGGTGGTACATATCTGTAATCCCAGTGCTTGAGCAGCTGAGGTGGGCAAACCAGAAATTCCAAGTTGGGTAAGCAAGATGGCTCAGCCCATTAGACCTCCGTGACCCACATGGTGGCTAGAGAGACCCGATTCCTGCAAGTTGTCCTCTGACTGCCACACAACTACTGTGGCACCTGCCCTCTGCTCCCCCCAGTAAATAAAATCTAATAAAAATTGAAAATAAAAGAAGTTCGAAGTAATCCTTGCCTACATAATGAGTTCAAGGCCAGCCTGGGCCACCAGAAATTCTGTTCAGAGAAAGAAAGGGAGGGAGGGAGGAAGAAATAAGGAAAGAAAGATGAAAATGATTTTAAAAAATCAGTAATGCTTTAAAAAATTCATTTTACTGTTGTGGGCCCAAAACAGAGTCGATGATGGCAGGTGCCTTTGCCAGCTGAGGTGCCTTTTTGAGACAGGGCTTCTCTGTGTAGCCCTGACCGTCCTGAGATTATCTCTGTAGACCAGGGTGGGCTCGAACTCGCTTGGTAGTCCAGGCTAGTTTCGAACTCACAGAGATCCGCCTGCCTCAGCCTCCCAAGTGCTGGGATTAAAGGAGTGAGTCATCATGTCCGTTTCATTTTAACTTGTTTTTAATTTTATTTTTTATTGTGAGACAATGAGTTAAGGGTCTCCCTATGTAGGTATATACCAATCTCCAGAGGATAAGACAAGACAGTCTGTCCCACAGAATATAGGAGCAATGTAAGGGCTAAGAGACCAGCTTCAGCCCCTACCCAGGGTCCCAAAGGTGAATGCTTCGAAGGAGCGAAGGAGGGGGTAAGAGATTTCTAAAGTAACTTTACACACAATCTGGGGGCCGTGCTCCTTATTTCCTATGCTCTGTTTCCACTCTAATAATCGTGTCCTACTTCTAACTTCTTCATGCTTCTTCTAGTCTAAATATTCTTCTCCTTCAGGAGCCTTGAAGTGATAAAGAAATTTCTCTTATTGGTCAAAAGCACATTCCTAGAGCAGGAGATAAGGTGCCGAGCCGTTTACATGACAACACAAGGGTCCAAGGCCATAGGAGCAAAACCATGACCAGGCAGGGAGGGCACAGTGCCCATGACAACTTTAAGACTCAGATCTATGGTGAATGGAGAGCTAGCAAGCTTTTCTTTGTAACCCTGGTAGACATCTGTGACTCTGACCTTGTGCAAGCTGCCAAGTTTTCTTTTCACAAAAAAAAAAAAAAACAACAACAACAAAAAAACCTTGTGTTGTCGGCGCACGCCTTTAATCCCAGCACTCGGGAGGCAGAAGCTGGTGGATCTCTGTGAGTTCGAGGCCAGCCTGGTCTACAGAGCGAGTCCAGGACAGCCTCCAAAACAATACAGAGAAACCCTGTCTCGGAAACAAAACAAACCAAACAAAAACCTTTAGTCTACTTTGAGATTGCTCTGAGGCAAAAGTGAGCTAACTGTGTGCAGTAGTCTGAGTAAGAGAACAAGGCAGGATGTTAAGAGTTGACAGCAGGAGGCCGGGCGTTGGTGGTGCACGCCTTTAATCCCAGCACTCGGGAGGCAGAGGCAGGCGGATCTCTGTGAGTTCAAGGCCAGCCTGGTCTACAGAGCGAGTTCCAGGACAGCCTCCAAAGCCACAGAGAAACCCTGTCTCGAAAAAAAAAAAAAAGAGTTGACAGCAGGTTAACACCTGCTGCACTTCTCACAGCAGAGTAGAGCAAGCGCCTCACAATTTCCCTCTCCAGGCTGCAGACCCGGAGTTGTGGCAGGACAGAGGGCCTGTAGCATGTTTCCTGGGCCTTCGGTGCTTGGGAACAAGACTTGGGGTTCAGAGAGTGAGTACTGGTGTGGAGAGATGCAGCGTGAAGCTGGATCTCTCTAAGGAAATAACGACCATGCCTTTCCGATAATAGCTTTCAGGCCCTGGCTGCTGGCCTGGCGCAGAGAGCAATGGCTGCCTCCCCGACCTCCCCACTTTTGCTGGAAATAACCAACGGCGCCATCTAGCGGCAGGATAAGCAGCGACTACCCAGGCCTCCAGCGGGAGCTCGCAGCATCGAGTTATGGCTACCACCAACTTCCTCCCTTCTGCGGTTGCTTCTTTTTGATGCAGAACCTCTCCCCTGGTCCTTTATGAATTCCCTAACAACACTTATCCTCTATAACAACAACAACAACAACAAAGATTCTATAAAGATTCTGTGGACCAGGGATTTGGACAGATCACACGGCAGAAAGCATCTGCCTGCTTGACGGTGTCTGGAGCGAGCCTCAGGTGCTGGAATTATCAGGATCGTCTAGAAACTTCACTCATTGGTGGGGCGCTGGGCTGGGGTGATTCCAAGGCTGAGCTAACGGGGCTTGCTAAACAGGTGCTCTATTGTCACGACTGCTGCGCGGCCTGTGTCCGAGAACGTGCGGAGGGTGTCGGGTATTGATAACACAGAGACTCGTTCAATGATATAAAGAAAACTTTAAACAGGCTCCAAAAAGGTTCAAGAAAAACTTCCTAAGAAAAGCTCCCACCAGAGAAGCTTCTGCTCTCTCCTCTCCCCTGGCTGGTTCTGCTCTGACACCAGAGGTGGATGTGTGTGGGTTTTTGAAGGTGCGGTTAGTCTCTGGACAAGGTCGAGGTCAGGGCGGTTTCCGTGGGAAGGCCTTTCCCAGGAACTTATTGTATCATTTTTAGTAAACATGTTTTTACTAAACATTGTCTTATAGCTGCCTACTCCCAGGCAGAAGGGGAAGTGGGTCTCTGCTCAAGGTCTGGTGTTCCCACACTCTATCACACTGGCGTACACCGGGGACTGGAGAGATGGCTCAGTGGCTAAGATCACTGGCTGTTCTTGCAGAAGGCCCAAGTTCAGTTCCCTGCACACACATGACAGCCCGCACCCACCTGTAACGCCAGTTCCAAGGGCTCCGATCCCCTCTCTTGGCGTGTGTGAGCACTGTACTCATTGTTGCGCTTACATACACTCAGACAAAATATGCATATACATAGGGTACAAGAAATCTTCCCTTAGAATTTATATTTTAAGGGCCGGGGGTGGTGGTGCACTCCATTAACCCCAACACTAGGGAGGCAGAGGCAGGAGGATCTCTGTGAGTTGAGGCCAGTCTACAAAGCAAGTTGCAGGACAGCCAAAGCTGGTACAGAGAAGCCCTGCTCAGAAAAATATATATATATATATATCACACACACACACACACACACAAACACACATGGATTGGGTCTCATTAAGCATTAAGTTCCCTGGGTGCTTTTTTTAAAATTATGTATCTGTATATATGTCTGTTCATAGGTTTGAGCATGTGAGTTAAGTGTCCTCAGAGGAGCGTGTGGATTCCCTTGA